GTTGGGATTACAGGCACCTGCCACCACACCCAGCTAATTTTTGTATAGTAGAGACGGGGTTTCAGCATGATGGCCAGGTTAGTCTCAAACTCCTGACCTCAAGTGATTCGCCTGCGTCAGCCTCCCAAAGTTCTGGGATTACGGGCGTGAGCCACCACCCCCGGCCCAGGTTTGCATTTCAAGTCAAACTCTGGCTGCTGTGTGAAAACAGGTTGGTGTGGGCAGGAGGGCTTCCGGGAGGCTGCTACCTGCCAGAGTGCAGGCAGGAGACAGTGGCGGTGGCAGTGGTGGAGAGGAGACACATGAGGAAAGGGAATCTCAGGACTTGGTAATCCATGGTAGGGGAGGGCGGGGATAGGCCAGCAGAGGGTTCCAGGTTTTTGGCTGGGCAGCTGGCAGACATAGGACTATTTTCTGAGTGGCAGAGTCCAGCAGGAAATTGTGACCTCCAGGAGGAGGTGCTTGAGGTAGGTGGACACATGGAGCTGGAGCACAGGAGAGAGGGCCAGGTTGGAGACAAGAATTAGGGGGTCACTGGCCTAGAGATCCCCCAGAGAGAGCATATAAGATGAAGAGAGCCCTGGACAGAGCTCCAGAGGAGCTCCTGACAGAGAGGAGATGACTGGGAAGGAGCTGGAAAAGGAGGCCAGAGTAGAAGCAAAACCAGGGGACTGCGGGGTCTCAGACATGCTGTCATCATGGGAGTTTCTGGGACAGCAAGACCTTTGTCCTGGTCATCGCCCAGAGCCTAGCTCAGTGCCTGGGAGCCCAGGAGGTGCTGAATAAATGCGTATTAAATAAATGAATGACTATGACAGACAACGGGACACACTTCTGAGGGTGGAGTCCCAGGGGAGGGAGCACAGAGGGACAGTATCCCCCCTGCCCCCACCCCTCCAATCAGTGCAAGGACAAGTGGGAGGTTATTCTGGGGCCTCCTCTGGGTAAATATAGCTTTTGGATGGGGTGGGGCCGGGTTGGGGGCCGGAGGTGGCTTCCTCGGTTTGTTTGGGACACTTCCTTATAAGGCTGTGCAGGCTGAGGCGCCTCAGAGGGTGAGGTTAGGGGCTGAGCTCTCCATTCAAGTCAGCCTGATGCTGTCCTATTGCTGCTGCTGCTGCTCCTGCCGCCATTGCCACGAGTCTCAGAGGAAATCAAAGGCCTAGGTGTTGGGCTCGGCCAAGGGGGCACAGAGTGTGGTCTCTTAAAGGGCTCCTTCAGCCTTAATGTCTGTGTGAGAGCCCAGCCCTGGAGTGGGGAGAGTAGGTTCTTCCAGGGTCCTCTCAGAAAGAGACACTGGACACCTCCTTCCCCCGTGGGGCCTTCCTGGGACTGGGTCATCCCCAGAGGCACCACACAGCTAGGACATCCTGTGGTCTAACCTTGATCCCCGCCACTGCAGGGTCTGTGCCTCTTTCTCTGGTCTCTTGAGATCAAAGAATCAGAATTCATTTATTGCCTCCAAAGAAAGGCCCTGGTCCTCCACTTCCCTCCCCACCCCCTTCTCAGCCCCTCCCTGGGGAACCAGCTGCTGCCACTTGACCCTGTGGTGTCACAGCTGCTGTCAGCAATGCCATGCTCATGAAGCAGGGAGAGAGGAATGTGATTTAATTTCAGCTGGAATGTGCTCTCTGAGGCTGCCCATGGAAGGGAGAGGGGATGGAAAAAAAGCCCACCTAAGCCCAGGAAACCCGAGACGACTCTGGGCTTGGGCACAGGCTCCTGGGTCCCAGCTGGACCCCCAGCCCCACCCACAGGGGAGAGCTAAGTTCCAGGATGGATCCTACAGCAGGACAGATGGAAGTTAGACTTGAGGGTCTTCCTGGGAGGTGGGAAAACAGGATGTTTCTTGAATGCAGCTCAAGTACCTGAAGAAAGGACTCAGGCACTCTGTTCCTGAATCTACCAGCTGACCTTAAAAAGACTAGGATGAGAATCTCAAGTGGCTGAACCAGGGGAGGAGATGCTTGGCTCAGAAGCAGAGGGAGGGACAGAAAGAATGGCCCACAGAGGAAAATGTGGCCCTCTCTCTTTCCTCTCTCATGGCACTGGGGTCTCCCATCTACCTCCCTGCTGGGAGCCCTCTTTCCCCTCTCCTTCTTCTTCCTCTTCTTCCTCCTCCTCCTCCTCCTCCTCCTCCTCCTCCTCCTTCTTCTTCTTCTTCTTCTTCTTCTTTAAGAGATGGAGGTCTTGTCTGTCACCCAGGCTGGAGTGCAGTGGCACTATCCTAGTTCACGGCAGCCTTGGCCTCCTTGGCTCACAACAGCGATCCTCCCACCTCAGCCTCTCAAGTTGCTGGCACTGCAGGCGCAAGCCACCAGACCTGGCTAATTTTTGTATTTTTAGTAGAGACAGGCTCTTGCTATGTTACCTAGGCTGGTCTTGAACTCCTGGGCTCAAGTGATCTGCCTGCTTTGGCCTCCCCAAATGCTGAGATTACAGGCATGAGCCACTGTGACTGGCCTCTCAGTCTTTCTAACACAGCATTCCCACACCCAGATCAGGCTTGTCTCTTCTCCCACATTTCAAGGGTAGAGGCCCTGCCTCCTACTCCCCAAAGCCTTCCCGAAGCCCCACTATTCCAGGGGCTCCAATGTGGATGTCCCTCCTGTACTTGATGCTCTGGCCCCAAAGGGATGGACCCTAGGTCCCAGAGTCCCAGGCCCTAGAGTCCTCTTCCTTCCTCAACCTTCTCTTCTAGTCACAATCTCCCCTCCCCCCCAGTCCCATTCACTCTCCCCACCCCCATGACTCAGCTGTGGCTCCAGAAATAAACTAAGGCAGGTGCCAGGAGGCCTCTGTCGAGGAACCCCCTCCCAACAGCTGCCGTCTCAGCTGCTTGCAAGTGCCAGGGCCCCAGAGCCCCAGGAAGGCTGGCTGGGAGACTTTACAGTGAGGGAATGCTCCGCTGACTCTGGCCCCCTCCTGGGTCTTCAGGACTCCACCCTCTTCGCAAAGGAGAGACATTTGCCACTCAGGGACCCAACTCTCCTTCCCTGTCTCCCTATTTTCACCTCTCTTCTGTCTTCTGCCTACTTTCCTCCCTCCTCCCTGGTCCCTTCCCAAGTTCTGAGTCTTTTTTATTTTTTTTGAGACGGAGTCTCACTCTGTCGCCCAGGCTGGAGTGCAGTGGTGCGATCTCCGCTCACTGCAAGCTCCGCCTCCCGGGTTCACGCCATTCTCCTGCCTCAGCCTCCACAGTAGCTGGGACTACAGGCGCCCGCCACCACTCCCGGCTAATTTTTTTGTATTTTTAGTAGAGACGGGGTTTCACCGTGTTAGCCAGGATGGTCTCGATCTCCTGACTTTGTGATCCACCCGCCTCGGCCTCCCAAAGTGCTGGGATTACAGGCGTGAGCCACCGTGCCTGGCGCAATTTCTGAGTCTTTTGGTCTCTCCAGGATTTCTTCCTTTCACTTGCCAGGAAATTATGTCAGAGAGAAGTTCGGTTCACCTTGATGGAGAAACTGAGGCTCAAAGCGATGTCCCTTACCAGTGACACTAGGAATTCCTAGATGCCACTTGGGGTCTGTATAGCATGGGCCAGGGCAGGTGAGGTGGCTTATGCCTGTAATCCCAGCACTTTGGGAGGCTGAGGCGGGAGGATCGCTTGAGCCCAATAGTTCGAGACCACCTTGAACAACATGGAGAAACCTCATTCCTACAAAAACAAAAACAAAAAGTTTCCTGCCTGGTAGCATGCGCCTCATAGTCCCAGCTGCTGAGGAGGCTGAGGCACGAGAATCGCTTGAGCCTGGGAGGCAGAGTTTGCAGTGAGCCAAGATCGTGCCTCTGCACTACAATCTGGGCAACAAAGTGAGACCCTGTCTCAAAAAAATGAAACAAAAACCCATGGGCCAGGGGACTGTGGGCTAGCCCCCTTAAATATTCCAGTCCTGTGGTCGACAGCCTCCCCATTAGCAAGCTCTCTAAATACTAAGGAAGAAGCATCCGGGAATAAACACAGAAGCCACAAGATCCACCCACTCAGACAATTAACTAGTCTAGAGTCTCTCAGTGGGGGGAATTTCCTCACATTCTTCCTTTTCTCCTGTTTTCTTTTCTTTTTCCTTTTTCCCTTTCTTTCCTTTCCTTCCTCATGCTCTGCCCCTGCCTCTTTCAGTTCTCCCTTCTCAGGAGGAAGTAGGCTGCTTTGCAGAATGCAGAGCGGAAGTCAGATCTCAGGAAGGACCTCCAGTCTGTGGACTGAAAGAACTTGCACAGCTGGGAGAGACAGCACCTGGGCCCTCACTCCAGGCAGAGATCTGGCTGCAGCCCCCAGGGAAAGTCCACTCACCCACGGGAGTCTGACGGGCTGAGCATTTTTGGAAGTCTTTAGGAGCTGCTGTGTCACAGCAGGGAGCCGGAACAATGGGACTCTTTCTTTCCCTGTGCAGGAGACAGGCCCACAGATAGGGCCTCACAGCTAGGACAAAGGCCCCAGTGAGGTCAGGACAGTGCTGTGGGAGTTGGGGGTATGGGGGAGGAATGGGGAGGTAGGTGTGTGGTAGAGCAGCCTAGAAGGAAGGAAGCTGGAGGCCCTAGCAAATAAGTTGGGGCTCTCTGGAAGGCCATCTCACCAGGCTGCCAGGCCCCTCGGCAATGTTCAAGCCCCTAAATCTCACCCAGGCTGGGTCTCTTCTCTCCATACACATTCTGATCTCCTTCATTCCCAGGAAACTGAAAACTCTGCAAAGGGACCCCTGTTTAGACATGTGGGAATGAGGTTGAGAGCTTAACCACACGTCCAGGGGCTTGGCAGGGGTGAGCACATCGTTAGATTGGTGCTGTGCCCTGGAAGCAGAGGCAGACACAGATGTGGCCCCTACTCACATCCCCAAAGATGGGGCTGACACTCTATGAGGGGCCAATTCCTCCTGCCCAAGGCCAGGATAGGACACACATACACGCACACACACACAGGGACTGGGCCAGGGGTTGGACTCTGTGCAGGACGCTGAGTCACCCGTGGACCAGCTCCGCCTTCCCCAGGAAGCCCAACAAAGCCAGGAGAGGGCTTCCGTTTCCGGGCCCCGCCAGAACACCCGGGCAGGTATCAGGGACAGGGCAGGATTCCAGCTTCAGCCTGTCTACCTCTGAAGCTCTCCTGATCAATACACCAGAGAAGATGATGGAGCCCTCCTGCCGCTCTTGGGGAGAGTCGGTGAGAATGCCTTGATGGGAAACCAAAGCCCCTTCCAGCTCACCACCATGGGCTCTCTGGGGAATCCAATACACTATCAAACTCCACCTCAGGGGACCTCCCTTAAGAGCCCAAGGACAGACACTGCCCCTCCCCAGCCTTCTCCTCTTAAGGCCCTACTTTCAAAGGCCCACCTTGATCTTCATCCACTCAGTTCCACCTAAATCCCCTGAGAGCCCTAAAAATGCATTGACTATACAATCACAGGGTAATACAGGATAAAGTGAGGATCTACTCTGGCCCCAGAATCATCCTCTTCCCTGTAGCTCCTTAAGAAACAGAAGTCTCTGCTCCCTAGCGACGCAGGGCTGAGTTGTGTGGGGGGCAGAAGGTGGGGCAGGTGAGGCCTGAGGTGAGGAAGGAACGTGGTGGTAGGTGGGTGTGGGAGGTCACACTGGTATATCAGAGACCAGCTGGTTTCAAGTTTAGAAATAGGGTGGGGAAGGGCCAGGAGCTAGGCAGGGATGGCCTGGGAGAGCCCCAGCTCCCACCAACACAGAGCTGTATTGAACCTGTGTCTGCCTGTCTTGCCCACTATCTCTGGGTCTCCCGGTATTACTATCAGTCTTTGTTCCTCTGGATCTGTCTCCCTGTCTCTGGATTTTACTGGCTTCAGAGAAGGAATAAGTATTGCTCTTGTGGGTGATGTGCTGTAACTAAGTGGGCACATGCAGGAGTGTGTACATACGACAGTGTGCACGTGTGTGCCTATGTGTGACTGTGTGTGCCTAACTGAGGATCTGCAGGAATGTCCTCTCATCATGAGGACAGACTGCATCCTGATATGCACTTCACCAACAATTCTGTGCACTGGGAGAAGGGTGCGCGCGCGCGCGCGCACACACACACACACACACACACACACACACACACACACGCGGGCGCTGGGTCACTCTCTTTGCAGTTCTCAGAGTGACCTCATCCTCTCAACCTCCGCTGACTCACAGCCCCCAGGGCCAGCTAAGCCTGGCCGGAAGTCCAACCCCCTACATAGCCAACTACCCCCCTTCCCCTCCCGCCTCCTCAGGACGCAAGCCCGCGGCGCCCCCTGGCGGGATCCTGGGGCTCCTCGCACCCCTCTGCCCGTCTCCTTCGGCGCACGCTTACACGGCACTCTCAGAGCACCGCGCTGGGTCCGCGGCGCCCTCTGCTGGCCGCTGCCTGTGCCGGCCCCCAGGTCGTTCCCCGGAGCCCAGTCCGCCGCAGGGCTGGGAACCTCCCCTTGGCCCTCAGCTTGTTTCCCTATTTCTTACATCTCTGCTTTCTCTGCTGGACGTAAACCTTCCTGCGGCCTAACCCCCAGACGTGCTGCAGTGCCAACGGAGCTCTCCCATCACCCTCACTCTCACACTCCCATGAGGGAAGGCCCTTCCGGAAGCTCAGAACTGGGATACCAAGGCACCAACCTCTGCCTTCCTCTCTGGGACCCCAGCCCTTCTCCCTCCCAGGACAGAGCTCATTGACGTCCACTTGACTCTTAGGCACTCAGGCACTCCATCTCTTTGCACACATGCTGCATCACTCCAGCTGTCCCCCAGCACCTGTGCGTTCCTTCATTCCATAAGTACTTCCTGGCAGCTATTCTGGCACTGTTCTACTTGCTGACATCTTTGGGACATCTCTGACCTTTGGAAGCAAGTAAACCTCGAAGCTCTATGTATCCTACGAGGCCCTGCCCAACCTAACCTCTCTCTGTCTGTCACAGACATACACACAGAAGCATCCAACTTGCTTGGGCTCATACGCAGTTTTATTTCCTGTTGGTTTTACAGACAGTTCATCCTGCAAGCCCATTCCCTTGGAAAATCCAGAATGAGTGGGCACAGTGCTCCCCAGAGAAATGGAGGGGAGAGGATGGCTGCCAGGCAGAGGGCAGTTGAGGCACTTAGGGATTTACCCCGGCCCTGATGGAAAATCTGGTGCCCAGGGTAGGGGGAGAGGGCCTGGGCTGGGCTGGAGCCTCCCAGGTATTTCCCAGAAGCCCCTTCAGGAACTGTCACCTGGACTCTAGCACCACCCCTCATCAAGTTGTCACATCCTGTGGTGGCAGGAGCACAGGGTATGAGGGAGAATTTGGGTGACAGGGCAATGCTGTGGCCAGCAGTGTTCAAGGCCTTGCCCCCTAAGGACCTGGCGTGGGGCTGGAAGAGGGGATCAATAGCGCCTTCCAGCGTCCCAGCAGCCTCCCCTGACGTCCTTCTGGGTCCTTCTCTGAGTGCAGAGATCGGGCCTGGGGAAGACAAACACTCACCCTCCACCCTGGCTCCTCCTCCTCTCCTCAGAGCCTGCCCTCTGATGTTCTTGCTCAGCCCACAAGAGCCCCGAATGTGGCTGCATGTTATCAGACATCAGCACTGAAGGAACCCCAGAGCCTCCGGCCCACCTTTCCCCCTTTGCCTCAGAGAGGGGCAGTGACTGCTCCAAGGTCACATGGCCAGTGACAGGCAGGACTGAGAGTGGAGCCCAGGGCTACCGTTGGCTACTGTCTCCCACTCCTACCTGCCTCCTCCTGTCACTCACAGGTCTTCTGGGCACACAGGAGATCTGGGGGGTCTCCCAACGGCCGTTCTCTTGGCATCGGATCAGCGGCAGATTGCGCTGGGCCAGTCCTTCCCGGCACCGGTAGCGAAGCACCGTGTCCACCTCATAGCGCAGCCGTGGGCGGCCAAACAGTTGAGCCAGGGGCAGCTCCGGTGGTGGCCCACAGGACACTGCAAAGGAAGACAGTTAGGAACTGGGAGCCTGGCTCTGTGGGTAACAGTTCCCAGAATCTCCATGGGGAAGAGAAAAATGGGCCACAACATGACAAAAAGAATTAGGGATTCAGAGTGGACCCATATAACTTGTTAGCTCTCCCATGGTCTGGAACAGGTTGTGACTCCTCTATGTAGCCTTGCACTCTCTGTCTACCAACATCAGTTGCCCTGGTCCCCTAACCCACCCCTCCACTTCCTTGCTGGGACCCTCCTTTGCCTGCCCTCACCCAGCCCCATCTTGCAGGTGTAGGACAGGTGGTAGTTGCAGGGCACATCACTCCATTGTCCCTGATCATGCCACACCATGACCACGCAGTTCTCTCCAGACAGGAAGTAGCTGTCAGGCTGCCCAGGGTTCCAGTTCTCATAGAGCTGGGGGGACGGAGGAGGTGGTGAGGAGCTCCTACACCAGGAGTACCGGGAGAGGGCCTAGAGGATCTGGGGAGGAGGACGGGTGTGCGGGGCCCCAAGAGAGGGAAGGCTAGGGCTAGGGAGTAGGGGACCTCCCGGGGAAGGGGAAAGGAGAGGGCAAGGACTTTAGGGGAGGGAGAATGGGAGCCAGAAGGGAAGAGAGAGGACACAAGGAAGGGAGGAGAGCCCAGGGAGAAGAGGCAAAGGGCACGAGAAAGGGAAGGAGGCCGGAAAAAGAAGGGGACAGGGTCAGGAGGGGTGGGAGTGGTAGGGAACAGAAGTGCTTAGAGGAAGTGAGCTCACGGCGGGGGGGTCGACTGGGGCCTCTCACCAGGGGGACGCCATCCGACCACAAGAAGTCGCCTTCAATGGTCCTATCGTTGAGCCCGATCCACTGGTACTCCCGGTACCGGTCTAGGGAGACGAAGAGGTGCAGTGAGCGCCATCGCCAGCAGATGGCGACCGTTCCCCGCTCCCGGGCGGTCTGCAGTGACTGCCTGGGAAACTCTTACCCGCGATCCAGCACCCGCCCTTCCCGGGTTCTTCTACCTCCCTCCAGTCTCTGCTCAAGGGCCAGATGGAAAGCAGGGGAATAGGGGTGGGAAAATAAGGAAGATATGAATCCAGGCTAGAAAAGGGGAGTTTTGGAAAAAGAGTAAAAATTTTTAACAAGATTGGAGTTGGGGGAGGCCGACGGAGGTCGGAGAGACGAGAGGTTGGAGGGACTGGAGGCGGCCCCTTGCGCGGCGGCCCGGCCCACACAGGCGCACTCTACTGCGCGAACCTCCACTTTCCGTTCCGGAAGGCCACTGCCTAAGCGTAGGTTAGGGAAGGAGGGAGAGTGAACGAGAAGGCGAGTGAACGAGTGAGTGAGGGAATGCACGCTTGAGAAAACCAAGGAATGAGTGCATGGGTTAATGAGGAAGGCGGTTAGGCGAGTGAGAGGGAGAACGCATGGCGGGCGGGGGTCCCTCCCACCCTGTCCCCAGCCCACTGTTGATGAAGTCCTGTTCCTCTGGCGTGCTGATGCTGGCCAGATGCGCGCCGTACATCCGGCACTGGGTCTCTGCCTCCTCCCAGCTCCTTCGTGTGGAAAAGTGTTTGTAGCAGGCGCCCTGGAAGGCGTCCCAGCCCGGGTTGCAGAAGCTAAGGCCTGCGGCACAGAAGGACGGGAATCTTAGGGCACCAAAACCCAGAGGGCCAGGTCCCCTGGAAGGGGCTGGTCTCCTTCCACTACCGCAGGCTGAGAGGGGCGGGACTAAGGGGGGAAGGCGGTTGGTGTCAAAGAGCTAGCAGAGAATGAGGGGGCTAGCATGAGCCTAGAGGGGCTCTTGGGCAGGGGCACTGGTGTCTTTTATGAGAGACAGGGACCAGGGTGAGGGATGGAGTTCTGGCCTGAGTCTCCATCGTAACGAGCAGTGCTCTCCTCTCCAGGAGAATGGAGCCTGTCATGTATTGACCACGGATTAAATGCCAGGAGTATGTTTTGCACTAGTCTCAAATAGACCCCCTATGAGAGGCATTTTGGTTTCACTTAGATAAGAAAATTGAGGGTAGGACTCAAAGAAGTTATGCAACTTGCCTAAAACAGGGACTCATTAATGACAAGGTCAAAACCAATGTCCTCCCTCCCCCTTCCAGAAGCAGCACGTTGTGGCAGAGTCCAGGCTTCAAACCTGTGCCCCGTCCCTCAACACTCACCAACATCGCACAGGTCCCCCCCATAGCCAGGCAGACATAGGCAGCGGATCCCTTCCTCCTCTTCCAAGCATGTCCCACCATTGTGGCAGGGGCTGGGGACACAGTCACCTGAGAGGGGGAAAGAAGTGAGGCCGGGGGAGCGAGGCAGCCTGACTCTGCAGCCTGAGCCCTCCAGGAGAGGGTGCAGAGGGTCCCCCAGCCCTGGTCTCTCTGTCCTGGAAGCTACAACAGCACCCTAAAAGTGCTCCCTAGAGACTGTCTCTGGTCACAACCCAGCCCTGAGTTCTGGGTTTCTTTCCTCTTCCTGCTCCCCACTTCAGCACTGGCTCGGCCTTGTGCAAGCCACTGTTATGGCCACCAGTGTGAGCCCAGCCCAAAAGGGACTGGGGAGAAGTGGCCAGGAGGGCCCTCAGAACCCAGCCCCATGATGGAGAAAGATACTGGGCACAGAAAGTTATAGCTCTAAACTCTTATCTGGCTTCTGTGTGATATTGGGCAGGTCATTTTCCTTCTCTAGGCTTGGAGTTTAGCCCCACACCCCCTTGTCTTTGTGCCAGGTCCCAGCACAGTTCTGTATAGTCCAGGTGGAATGAATGGAAGTGAAGGAGGGAACAGAAGGATTACCATAGCAACAGTGGAGGGTGGTCTCCCTTGACTGCTCCTGAGACCTGATATTGGTGTGGTCCAGGTGAATACTAACCATTCTTCCTGCTGTCCACTGGGCAGTCAGCCAGCCCCAGAAGTTGTTAGTGGAGATCCAGCCCACTTTCCTCACTCTAGGCCCTGCCCTTTCTCCCCCAGCTTAGGAACTAAGTTGCAGCAGCTCCCATTGTCCTGCAGTGCTGACTGGCCTCATACATGCAGCTTTCTCTCAACATCACCCAACCTCTCACCTCCCCTTCTTATATCCACAGACTCTTCCACTTACCAGTCTCCCTCTCCCAACTCCACTTTGGGCCTTCTGCAGGTTCTCCACCCTAGAATCCATCTCACTCCTTCCTTCTGGCTCCCTCTCCTCCAGGCAGTCCTCTTAGACTAACACACTACCCTGGAGGTCTGCAATCTGTTGCCTGGCTCTAGCTCCATCTGGCTAAGCCATCTGCTTTACTGGACTTTTTTTCTATGGATCCTGGGGTAGGATGCGGCTGTGCTTAAGATGTGCTTGGGTGCTATAGGAGCTGTCAGTTTCCAATCCTTTCTGGTTCAGATGACCCAGGGGAAGATGGCTCCACAGAACAACTGTGTAGGTCATGGCCCTCAGCGATGGTAAGGTCAAGGCCCTCAGCCATGGGAGGCAAAACCACTCCAGGGCAGAACCCTTCAGACTTTACCATCCACCTCTAGAAGCCATGGCCAAGGCCCACAATGCTTCACGCTGGCCTGGCCACAGATCCCACTGCCTGGTGAGAATCAGTAGGGGTGGAGAGAGGAGAAGCTGGAGTCAATTCAAAGAATTTTGCTGGGATGACCTATCTGTTTTGGGTGAAATGAATCAGCTTTTCCAGCACCACTCCTCCTGTCATCTTCCCTCCTGCCAATAGTTTCTTCCCGGCTGGTAGTGCTGCCCACCTCCCAACCCCAGAGGAAGAGGTATTTCATTTAACCCATTAAGCACCAGGCCCCACAGAGGGTAGAATCCTGAACTTCCTCCCATTCCTCACGCTTTCTTGTCCCTCCTTTTGTCCTTTCTGCTCCTTCACATTCAACCCTCCAACCCTGGGGGACAGAGGCTCTCAAACTTGGTCTTTGGTCCCCTACCCAGGCCATGGGTCCCTCCCCCTGGCTGTGGGCTACAGAACCTGAACCCAGCACAGGCAGAGTCAAGTGAAGAATGCTTCTTCTTGTCATCTTCCCTCTCCCTTTTTGGGGACAAGTACTCTGCACAACCAGAAAGTTTTCCCTTCCTTTCCATTGAAACAGCAGTCAAGGAGACCTCCCACTTACCCTCCAGGTGGGGAAACTAAGATACTGTAGATACCTCCAGTTGTGCTCCTTTTCCCACCAAACCCCCTCCCTATTCCCCACAGGGCTGAACTCCAAGGCCAATTGTGCAGGGACCTAACAGTTGACATGGGTAAGCCTGGGTGGGACACAGGATGTGATCCATCTAAGACAGGGGTCCTAGGGTTGAGGGAATCCCAGCCTTCCCCAGGGACTCCCACTGGGAATCTTAGCCTTCCTGAGTAGGGAGGGCTTCTCTCAGACCCCAGAACCTGACTCCTTCCTTCGCACTCTCCATCACTTGTTCTTCAATCTGTGTCTTCTCCAGCATTAGGTACTTTGAGACCCTTTGGGTTTGGGGAGGGTGAAGCCATTCCTTCTGGAGAGTAGGGAATGGTCATTAGTGCAGGAGTTAGTGGAGAAGAGGAAAGCTGTAGGTAGTGGGATGAGCATTAGACACCACCCCCTGCTGAGATGCAGGGCTAGGGGATGGGGGTGAAGGCACCTGAATGCCGGGGAACTGCCTCTATGCTGAGAGACCCTCAGTTCCCTCAGTTACTATGACTCTTGGCACCACCAAGATGGACTGGAAGTGAATATAAATGCACAACCCATGCACCCCGGGCTGCAGGGGTTTCTCCTCATCAGGAGTGAGGGACTGCAACTCCCAGCACTGCCTCAGACTATGGAAGATGACTTCTCCAGGGGTAATGTGTACAGTCACATTTTGGAATTTCAGCAGCCAGGAAGGAAAGTGTAGACAGGCCTGAGAAGGAGAGGCTGGGGGAACAATGAGGGCTGTTAGACTGCCAGGACAGACAAGGGGAGAAGCTGAAATGAAAAAGGAAGAGAGGCCAAGACACACATACACAGAGAGAGAGACATGGAGCCAGAGAAGAAGCATCCAAGTGCTCTTCATGACACAGACCCATGGAATGAGAGGGGTGGACAGCAGGAGATGGAGACAGAGGGTACCAGAGCTTGGTTACAAAGCAGTTTAATAGAGATTTATTTCCAAGGCTTGTTTTCCATGAAACAGTCAAAAAATACTTCACAGAAGTAGTTGCTTAAGGCTCTGTGGGGGTACGGGTTCTCCTGGACTCCAGAGGTTGGGGGATGGGGAAGGGACTCCCAGGCTTCCCTGAGATCAATGGGAGGCAGCTAAAGGGGACGGCACACAGGAGGAGGAAGGGAGTAGTGGAAAATAGGCTGAGCCCTGAAGACTGCAATAGGTGATGAGGACCCCTGGAGAGGCCTGAGGATGCTCTGTGGGACTGGTGAGATGTGAGCCACAGGTGGAGGGCCCAATGGCAAGGAAGGGTCACAGATGGTCAGTGGCAGGGCTGGGGTCACAGGGTGAAGACTCGGAGAGCTGGGATGGAAGTCACAAGGTGGGTATCCGAGATTGGAGACCCATAGGTAAAGGTGGGTAAGAAAATGAAGGCAAAGGACAGGAGAGTTTGGGATGATGGTGGGTTAAAGGACTACAGGTCAGGTGACCCAGAGTTGCAGCGGGAGGAAAAGGAGTAGGGTAGAGAGGGCAGTTGAGCCTTGGGCAGAATTACCTGATGCGGGGACCACGGCCACTCCACCTCGGCTGGCGCTGTCAGTGGGCAGCACTGGCTGGGCCTGCACTGAGGTCCCTGCTGGGGCAGTTCTTCCAGAATTATCTTCAGAGGGGGCCTCCAGCTCCCTGGTACCCTCAGGGGCCCGTGTGGCTGGAAGCAGGGAAGGGGCACCCTCAGAGCTTCCTGTCTCCTCGCTCTCTCCTCGAGGGACCCCAGATAACTCAGGACCACCGGTTTCCTCCCCCGCCTCTCTTGCCCCAGCCAGAGTGGAAGGTGATGGGGATGCTAGGTTCCTCTCCCTGGGAGAGGACAGAGTCTCAGTAGGTGGTCCATGGACCCTTGGAGGCCTGGGAGTTTCTGATTCTCCCTCAGGAAGTGGTGATACACCAGGCTGCAGGACTGCCCTTGCTGGCGCCTGGGAGAGTGACTCCTGGGCTGCTGGCTCAGTGGGGAGAGAGACCTCAGGGCCTGGGCTGTTGAACTCGCTGGGCCATGCCCACAGAGCCTCATCCTCCACCTCTTCCTCCCCTTCTTCTTCCTCTTTCTCTTCTTCGTCTTCATATTTCTCTTCTTCCTCCAATGCCTTGCCTTCCTCTTCTGAGAACACCGTGGGCGGTACCATGGATTGAGTTTCAAATTCTAAGCAAAGCACAAACGGTTCAGCACCAGGGACAGCGCCCGCCCGAGGACCGAAAGAAAAAAAGGGAAGGGGAGAAAAGTGGGGCTGGGGAGGGTGAGCCCTGGGGAATAGGGAAGAGCCCGCCCTGAGGACGGGTGATCCTTGCTCCACACTGGAAGAACTTGACCCCAGCTACATTGTTGAGGCAACACTTGAGAAGGCTGTGTGAGCCATCATTAGCCCCGGAGAACATGATCATTGCATCTCCCTCCTACTCTGTCAAAACTCTAGTCTGTTTTGGGTGTGTGAGGTGGAAGAGGGACCAAAGAAGGGAGGCCCCGCCTTTCCAGGGTGTGGCTCCTTAGTGCAAGCATCTCTAGCTCCATAGAGTTGGGGGTGGAATTTACTGGAAAAACAAAGGTTGGGAGAGGGACAGGAAAGGTGCCCTGCACCCCTGAGTTGCTGAGCAAGGACAGGGCAGAGTCATGCCATCCATGACGCGAGCATCAACCTAGGCTTGCCTCTTCTGCCCCCAACTTCTTTCAATCAAGACGTCCTTAGGATAAGGGATTTGAGTTACCTAGGACTGTCCTAGGGGCCTCTGCTGGGTCTTCTGGAGTGGAGCTTCCACCTCCTCCGTCTTCCATGATGGGGATGGAGTAGATGGCCCCACGGGATTCACTCTCCATGGCTTCCTGAGGCAGCTGCAGTTCCTCCAGGGTCTCTGTCACTGTGACGATGGTCTCTAGTCCATCAGAGGCTGGATCGGAAGCTGGGTTGGAGGCCTCAGGAATGGCAGAAGGCTGGGCTGAATCTGTGGCAGGAGGAAAGTATTGATGCGAGGCTGAATAGGTAGCTCTGCCCTCCCAGGTCACAACCTGCACCATGGAATTCTCTCAATTCTCTCACATCTTCCCAGTGGAGCACCTACTGGGGCGCAGGGAGCATCCCAGAACTTCATCACTCATTTCTCAAGCATTCATCAAGTGCCTACTGTGTGTCATGCCAAGCATTCTCCTGGGCACTGAGGATACAGTGTAGAACAAAACAACAAACCTCCTACCCTCAAGGGAAATTATATTCTAGAACAGACGACAAACAAACGTATATTATAATGTTACAAGATAAAGAACACTTGAGCAGAGTCAGAAGATAGAATGATGGAAAGTACTACTTTGGAGTGGTCAGGAAAGGCTCAAGTGAGAGATATTCCCTAGGGGGAGGGGCTGGAGCCAGCAAGATGGATGAAACAGCTTTAGTACTTTGGGATCTTGGGCTTGGGGCAAGGTGTGAGGGGTCCCAGCCATCCCCAAATTCTTTTATTTTTTAGACAGAGTCTTGTTCTGTCACCCAGGCTGGAGTGCAGTGGCACAATCCCGGCTCACTGCAACCTCTGCCTCCTGGATTCAAGTGACTCTCCTGTCTCAGCCTCCCAAGTAGCTGGAACTACAGGCATGCGCCACCACTACTGGCTAATTTTTGTATTTTTAGTAGAGACAGGGTTTCACCATGTTTGCCAGGCTGATCTTGAACTCCTGGCCTCAAGTGGTCCACCCACCTTGGCCTCCCAAAGTCCTGGGATTACAGGCGTGAGCCACTGCACCTAGCCTCCAAAATTCTTGAAATAAGAGGGGAGAGGCTTGTCATTTCGTCAGGATAGCTGGAGGGCAGAATGCAGGAATAACTTCAGGCACCACCTGAAGATCTCAGTGGTGGGGCAAGTAGGCTAGGGAAAGGGCCACCTCCTTCTAGGACCTACTCCCTTCAAATAACCAGAAGTTTAGAATGGTTTACTTGTCCTCTGGGGAAGGGAGCCAAGAGCAGAACACCAATGAAGTGAAGGTGGAATTGGGCTAAGAAAAGCCCTGAAGGCCATCTGTGCTCAGCCAGGCAAGACAGGACAGCGTGTCCCTGCCCTTATCACCTGCTCCAGTGAGCCTTACTCCTCACCAGACCTTGTGTCCTTGCTGCCTCTGCCGTCCACCAATTGTAGTCCCAACTGTAGTCATATTCCCGCTCCCCTGACCCTCCTCATGATCCAGGCCATTTCTTTCCAAAATAGGGCTTGGCTTGGCACACAATCATAGCCAGTACATAGAAGTTTTAGCTATTACTATTACTACTACTACTACTACCCCTGTTCCAGGAGGTCTTTTCAGATGGACCTGTCTTCCTATGGACTTTTACTTGCCCACCCCTCTCCAGCCCCCAGCCAGATATGTCCACAGATCTGTCCCAATGGAAGTAATGCTTTTCTCTCAGTCTCTCCTCATCCCGGGAGTGAAGCATCTTGTCTTCCCTTTGACTGGGGGTTCCCATGGCAAAAGCTGTGTCTTCATCCTTCAGACCAAGTGCTCCCTTAGGGTGAAGGCTGTGTCTGCTCCTTCCGTTTCTGCTTCCAGCTCTTGTAACAGCATTTCAGGCTTACAACTGGGGAAGGACCCAGACACCCCATGGCAATGCCTGTCTTATTGTCAGTTACCCTTGGCCTCGGCCTTTTGCCTCTGAGGGTCCCAGAAACTGCCTCCCTCTCAGCTCCCAACATAAGATATGGGCAGGTTTGGGTGCAGTGGCTCACACCTATAAATCCCAGCACTTCAGGAGTCCAAGGTAGGCAGATTGCTTGAGCCCAGGAGTTCAAGACCAGCCCGGGCATGTGGCGAAACTCCATCTCTACAAAAATTTGCTAGACATGGTGGCATAAATCTGTGGTCCCCCCTACTCCGGAGGTTGACACGGAAGGATCCCTTGAGCCCAGGGAGGTTGAGGCTACAGTGAACCATGATCGCACCACTACACTCCAGCCTGGGGAACAGAGTGAGACCCTGTCTCAAAAAAACCCGAAAACAAACCATAAGACGTGGGCAGAAAGCTATCTCTATTCCCAACTGTGCTTAAGGTCCTGCTCCCTTTAGGGGGAATTGAGTCCATCCACCAGTATTTGGTAGTTAAAGATCTGACACTTTCTTAAGCTGTAGTTTCTGGAAATCCTCCAGAGGGCTCCTGAGGGCATTTGGTTGTTGACCGGAAGAACTTGAGCAGATTACTCATTGAATTCACAGAATGTTGGTCAACTCTGCTCTGCCAATAAGCTGGCAGGAAATGGGAGCTTATTCAGCAGCCCAGCTGGAGCAAACTATGCATGGACTACTGGTGGGAAGGCAGATAAGGAGAGGCCAAAAGGTGAGCACTCCTTGGGCCAAACAGCTGACAGACACCACACCAGAGGGCATGCCCAGATTTAGAACCCTAGATGACAAGCTGGATTTCACCCACGACCCCTTCAGGCAAATGGCAAAGCCCTGAGCTAAACTGATCAGACTAGGGTAGGATTTTTAGGGCTCAACTTTGCCTTTCTGAGATTGGTATCAGCTTCTGCAGGGAGGTGGGCTCACCTCGGAAGCAGTAGACGTTGAAGCGGCTGTGCTTATTGGGGAAGCCAGTCTGGTTGGGGAAGAGGAAGAGAGTCTTGACACCAGGCAAGCCCCCACCACAGCGCTGGCTGGGTGTGACAATGGGGTAGCGCACACTGCCATCAGCCAGCCACCCTGGGCTGCAGCGGTCCAGGCCACCGTCCCAGGCGGCATACAGCTGGCCCGTGGTGGCAATCTCTGCACCCCGCTCCTGGCAGTACGCCCGTGCTTCCTCCAATGTCAGCTTTTCTGGAGGGTCACCCAGGAACAGTTCTCCTAGGTGGAGAAGAGAAGACTGGGTTACCAGACAGCTGGTAGCTCCTTCCACTCTGGTCTCCCATGGGAACCCTGGGCAAGCTTCTCCAGTTCCCTCATCTGTGGCAGGGAGTCAACTACTCTAGGATCAAAATCGGAATAGAACCTCAAGATGGACATTAGAGCTCAAAGAGATGGGGCCCAAACTTCTCATTCTGCAAAGCCATGCACAGAGTCCACCCAGCAGGTGGTAGATGAGTTAAACTCGGTATCCTGCCACCTGGCTGAGACTTTGGTCATGAGCTTGCCTCTGTGACAGTGTTTGGAGAGAAGGACACCAATTTTCTCCTTACTCCTGCTTGCACCCTTAAACTCAGGAGGGATAGTAAAGTCCTGCCGAGGCCCTGGGAGGACCTATGGGCAGCATGGGGGGTAGGAGATTGTCCCCTGGGAACCTCTCACTCCTAATCACCATTTAGGTCTTCAGCATAACAGTAGACATCATAGAGGTCATCCGGGTCCACCACACCATAGTTCCGGACCCCGGGGAAGCCATCCATGTCTCCGTAACAGGCCTCTCGTGGGGTCTGGATGGGATACCTGGGGAGGAAGGACAGAATCACTTAGTACAGATGCTTTCACCAGGGAGCCAGCCCATATTGACTCTACTGAACCCCACTGCCACCACAGTGCAGCCACTTGCTGACAGCTCGCTGTCCTCCTAGCTCTACAGGGATGCACATGCTCAGGGTCCTCACCTCCCCTCCTCAGACCAGCCTCATCCCCCAGAGGCAAAGAGCCCTGCGTGCCCAGCCTGACGCACCAGGCAGCACCCGGCAGAAGAGGGGCCATGGCCACCTCAGGGGCAAATAGAAGCCCCAGTCCACAGTCCCTGCCCACCTCACGGTCTGATCCGACAGCCAGCCAGCATCACATTGCTCATAGCCCCCAAGGTAGGCGGCATAGAGCTGTTCCGGGGTGGCGATGTGGGCTCCAATGCGGGCACAGGCTTCCTGGGCCCCAACAAAGGAGAAAGCGTAGCGGGCAGAGCCCTCTCGGTAGAGAAAGACGACCCCTGTGGGGCAGAGAGGACCCCGGAGCCAGGTGAGCACCCAGCACACTGGCCTCCCCTCACCCTCCTTGTCACTCCTCTGTACACAGGGGTAAAGTTCAATTGTGCTCACTCTACAGCATGAGGGACTTAAGTTAGATGGTGGGGAGAATTTCCTCTACCTGAAGAGAGAAAGGAGGCCTGTGTCTCCTCACTCTTTTTCCAACCCAGGTGCGCCTTCCAGCTACCTTTGCTTCCCTCTCACACTGTGGGCTCCCCGAGGGCAAGACTCCTCCCTTCCCTCCCTCCCTCCCTCTGGGAACCTCCTGCCCTCTCACCTTTCACCTTGACCTCCACAGCGTCGCTGCTGTCATCGATGCCGTGCTGGACCTCGCAGCGATAGATGCCTGAGTCGTTGGGGCGCAGCTCGCTCAGCGCCAGGGAGACATCAGTGAGCGACGCTGGGTACGCAGGCAGTGCCACGCGGAACCGGTAGGCCTCATTCACCTTGACGCGAACTCCCCGCGCCACCAGCACCTCTGCCTCCCGGCCCCCGGACAGGAAAGTCCACTTGACCCGCGGAGATCCCAGCACGGCCCGGCGGCTCGGCGGCGGCCGCAGGTAGTGGACGTGGCACGGGATGGTGAGGGCGCCACCGAGCACACCCTGCAGTGGCGCGTGACCGGAGATGCGCACGCGAAAGGCGCGGTCCTCTGTGAACGGGTGGAGCCCTCTGGAACTTAACGCTGTAGACCCTCAGAGTCCCACCCGGTGGGCTGCAAGCCCCGATCCAGGATCCCTCCTTCCAGCCCCAGGATTCCCCGGCCCCTCTAGAACCAGGGGCCAGGGTCCTGCAGCCCTACCTCTGGGTCCTCCAGGATCATCCCGGTCTCCAAACCCATCCCCCAAAGTCTCCCAGTCAATTCTGCCCCCGGATTCCTTGCCCTGCTCTCAGAGTGTTCCACTTCCTCTCCAAAATTCCTAGACCACACCCCAGGGTCCTCCAACCTCGCCCCCTGAGTCCTCCAGCCCAGTTTCCCGGTCTGCTCCCTTTAAGGCCTCCTTCAGGGTTTCTCCCAGTCCCACCCCTTTCCCACCTGCTAGCTCCAGGATCCCCCATCCTCCACCTTAGGGACCCAAAGCCTTGCACCCAGTGCTCCTCGCTAGTCCTGCCCCATGATTTCTCCAATCCACCAGATGCTCACAGCTCAGCCTTTATTTCCAAGTGTTCCAGCCTGGACTCTTCCCCACAACCCTCCCAATTCTCTCTCTTTCTGGGGCCCCTAAGCCTGGAAGTAGTTGGTTAGGACTGAACAAGACAGAGATGGTGACCCCAAGTGGGGTTGCTTACCTGAGCTGTCTCCTTCCAGAACATCTGCTAAAGCTGCAGGAGCCTGGACCAGGACCAGGGCTGCCAGCAGGGGCAGGAGTAGCTGGGCCATGCTGCAGGCTGACAGAAGGACATGAGAAAGAAAGATGGGGTTAGACTTCAAGATGGACTTCCTCCGGCTCCCTACTACACCCATGTGGGTTCACACATATCCTGGCTCCAGAAGTCCCCTACCTTCACATCACCAGGGACTCTCTGTTTCTGATCCCCATCTTCCCACCAAGGGATTCCTTCTCAGAACCAAGACCTGAGTCCTAGTCAACTCTCTGTGTGACCTAAGCCAGCTCCTTACCTTCTCTGGGCCTTTATTTTCTTATTTATAAAAGAGCATCATCATTACTACCTCATGAGTTGTAATGGAACCATGTGCTTTGAGAGTGTTTTGTATCTTAAAACTCCTGTACAAATGTATAGCACCAGGCACACAGTAGGAGCTCAGAATATAGCATGAATGCTGGGTGCTATTATACTCAGAATTCTGTCTGCTCTTCCCAGTGCCAGACTCCTTCCTTGAAACCAGAGCCTTCTCCCATAGTGCCTCTCTAGCCTTTCCTGCCTTCTAGACTGTCCCTGCCTCCATGGACACCATACTCACCTGGCCTTTTCCAGGAGGGCCTTCTAGACTGAACACAAATAAGCACAACTTCTCTTGAGCTCACCATCTCCTCTACCTCCTCCCCACTGTTATTTGTAAGGAAACTCTTCTCTTTACTCCCCAACATTCTCCATCCCCCTTCCTTGGCTGCCTCCTCCCTTCTTCTTCCCAGCCTCTCCTTTCTGCCTGGCACGGGCTTTCCCACCGGAACTCTTGGCTCAGAAATCAGTTGGGACAAAGCCCCTGTCTCTGCCAGTCTGGCCTCTGTCCAGCCCCTCCCTTCCCCCACCCTACCTTTTGTGAAAGCCTTGGGCTGGAGGGTGGACTAAGGGGGGTGAGAATAAATGGGAGGGGCTACCCCTTCCTACCCCTGGCTATCAGAAGCTGTAGAACCCAGAATATTCCTCGAAGCGCTTACACTGTCATAAAAAGGATGTGGCATGACATTGAGAAATGGAGACTCAGGCTCAGAGGATAGGGCTGACCCTGGATCCCTAGCAAAGAAAAGCCAGGCAGGAGGGCAATGTGCTCCCAGGAGAGAAGGCTCAGAGCTACATCATCTTTAAGGGTTGGGCTAAACTTAGAAGAGCATGGAGATCCAGGTCTGCCATGGAATAGGCCAATGATGCAGCAAGAAAATTGAAGGTTAAACTATAGGCAGGACTCCTAGAAATCAGGTTTATTCCACTGGCTGTGCACTCCCATTCCAGGCCCACTGTTTATCCCCCATCTTCCCTGCCCTCTCAGCCTCTGCCTTCATACCTGCCCCTGTACTTTCCTAAGCCTGAGCCGATGGGCAATTTCCTACTTTCCCCAGATCCTCCCACCTCCCTGCCATCATAACCTCCATCTCCCCCACTGTGTCTTGGTATCATTTCCTAGGGTCAGAGTTGGGAGAGGGGTGGCACAACCAGATGTTTAGGGCCTCTCTCTGACCTTTGAGAGGGAGGAGGTTCTTGATGGGGCCAGATTAGAGGTGCTGAAACCAGCTCCAGGCATGGGGGTGCTTGGGAGGACTGTTCTGGGGCTGGAGTGGGGACCATTGGGCATGAGCAGCGAGTGCCCACCGGGTGCTGGGAAAACTGTTTGCCATGCATCTGAGCTGTGCCAGGGCCTGGGCCCGGCCCCCTTCTGGCGCCCTCCCTCCCTTCTCTCTGGGCTGGAGCTGGAGTTGGAGCTGCTCACAGACCTGGCTCCCATCTCTCTGACAGGCGGCCCAGAAACCCATATAGTTGGAGTCACTTTGGGGCCAACACCCTGTACCACTCTTTCACCTCTGTTCTGACAGTGGGAGAGTGATAGAAGAGGGTCTAAGGCCAATGAGGACCTAACTGCTCTGGAACATGGAGGGCAACCTACCCTTGACCCCAAAAATGGCAGTCACTGACCAGTGAGGCCAAGAGGGCAGCCCCGTGCAGTTCTCAGAGAGCTCTGTCTCTCCAGTCTCGGGCCTCAGCCTCCCAGGTGCAGCCAGGAGCCCTGAGGAAACTCAGACTTCCCCACATCTGGTACCAGCCTCAGAACCCAGGGGTCTAGGGTTCTGTGGCCTTCTCTATCCCACACACCACTCACCTCCATTTCATCTTCTCTTCCTCCAGAGCAGACCACACCTCTCCGTCTCTAACCCTGAGAGCTCAGCAGTCATGCTGTCCCTTCCCTTGATGCCACAACATCCCCCTCTCTGTATCTGCTCCAGCCTCTTTATCTCTGCCCTTGTTTTGAATTTCTTGAGCTGTTTAGGAAACTTTCCTCTTGTCACATCGTTTCTGTCTGATCCTGGATGTCCATCTCACTCACAGTCTTCGTAGACCCAACCCAGAGAGTTAAGATCAGGTTCTCTCTCTCTCTCTCTCTCTCTCTCTCTCTCTCTTTGTGTGTGTGTGTGTGTGTGTAGGCATGCACATGTGTACACACATCTAACAACATCCACCACCTCCATGCTGAACACCCATCAGCTGGCAGCCAAGGCCTGTCCCATAGGAACTGAGCTCCAGCACTCAGCAGGGTCAGCAGGGAGGCACAAGAAGCCAGAGCTTTGGCTATAGCAGGAGTGAAGCTCTCTGCTACCCCCTTAGCAGCTTCATGAGGAGCAACATGAGCCTACAAGATACCAGCGGGGCCTTAGGGCCTGTAGGAGTAATTGCAATTATCATATAAATAGTCCTTTTTATTGGAAGCACAACTAATAATACTATTAGCAATGTCACCAGCCGAGCTGTTGCAGATCCCTCTCGTATAGAATCTGAAATGTGGATGATGCTGTCGTAAATAGCAAAGTTAGCCATAACAACATAGGCACTGGTAATACTGTGGGTGGGTCTATGGGTAACACTGTTCCCTGATCTTACTGTTATCATCTGCAATCTAAGTAATGCAGATAATAATGGTGCCCCTCAGAATTGATGCCAATCTCTTGGTCCTATTAGAACCATGTAGGCAGAGCTATTCTAATAGGTGGGGGAATACCTGACAGGATATGGAAATACCTGGGAGAGGGAATTCCCAGGCCCTTGGGAATTGGACTTCCTGGCAGTGCTAGGAAGGAATGCAATAGTGGTAATGGAATTCCAACTAATAGCTGGAATATTACTAATGTCTACCTGAGCCAGTTCTCCTAAATGCTTCCTGTGGATAGTCTCAACTGTGAGAAAAAGATTATTTGTATTTTGCTCATTACATCAATGAGGAACCCGAGGTTCAGGGAAGTCAACTAACTACCCCAAGGTCACAGAGCAAGGAGCCGAGTTGGGATTCCAGCCGAAATGGGCACCCCGACCACCTCCTAGAGCGGCTCTGATCGGTTGTCTTGCCGGACTACAGTAAAGTGTCCCCAGAAGGGTTGCTGGCCGCTGCTCCTGGAGCTGCCTGCAGCGTGGGGAACGGAGGCAGGGACTGATCCCGACCGCTACTGCCCTGCCTGGGACAAGGTCGGAAATCTAGGGGGTCGCGCTGGGACAGGAGCGCGCAGCAGGGAAGACGCGAGGACCCGAGGGGTTGCTGATCAGACTGCGAGCAGCAGGGGGGCTGCCACTGGCAGAGCTGGAAGCGTGTAGATCAGAGATGGCAGCAGCAGCTGCGGGAGCTCGGGGCTGTCCGGCAGCCTACCCCGCTGCGGTGTCAGGAGTCGACGAGTTGGGTGCCCCAGAGCCTCGAGGCAAGGGCTGACAGGCGGGGGGGCGCAGACCAGGCGGGCACTCCCTTCTCTCTGTCCCTGACCCCAGGGCGGGCGGCGGGGCTGCGGAGGCACTCACCTACCCAGGGCTGGGGTTGGGGCGCGGCACTGAGAAGTTTGTAGCCTCCTCCGGGGGTCTCCTCCGGGTCTACGTCTGGGTCCTGCAGCTGCAGCTGAGACTGCGGCGGGGACTGCGCGAGCTCAAGAAGAGGCTGGGGACGCAGGACATTCGGAAGAGGGCGCCGGCCCTCCCGGCACCGCACAAAACCCCCTTTCTTCCCCCCGCCCCTGCCCCGCCCTCCCCGGGGCCACCCCCGCCCCCTGGTCGGGAGCGCGGGGGGCTCGGGACGGTCACGGGACCCGCTGCCTTCTTTGCGTTGGCTCCCAGCGGCAGCGGCGAAAGCAAGGACGAGCGAAGTAGGACATCGTTCAGCGGAGGAGAAGCGGGGGGGTGGGGGGGGGGGGGGGGCGCAGGAGGGGCGGGGAGGGAGCGTTCGCTGAGCTAGAGGATGACGATGTTGCAGCTGGAGAGGTGGAAGTTGGACAACCAGAGGGACTTCTCGTTGGTCAAAGAAGGAGGAGGGATTCAATTAGACTGTAGGAAGTGGATGAAGGGAGAATGGGGGCTTTGCTCCTGAAAAGAGGCACCCTTCCTAATAAAAATGGGAAGCTCTTTTCTGGAGGTAGAATGGAGTGCAAATGACCGTAGCTACCTCCCTGGAGGCAGCTATGATTGGGCTTTGGCTCCTGTAGTGCTCCCACTCCCTGCACAGAGGAGGAGCTGACTTTGCAGCTGGAAGGATGGAGGTTAGACAGCAGAATCATGGGTTAAGCAAAGCAAGTCAGGAAATCTCTAGACCTGAGGTGGGGGTGGGGTGCGGGTGGCACTGTGAAGGGACATTACCAGTCATGCAAACCAATGTGCAAAATGCAGGCGTTGCTGGGAGCCCAGAAGGCCTACTGGCCAGGGCTGTGGATGCTGAATGTGCAGCCTGATGCCAGGGGGTGGGCCTTGAGTGCTGCCCAGCCAGGAACTCCTCAGTGCCCAGAATACCAATGACCCTCCTTTCCCCCAGCTCCAGGGCCTCTCTGCTTCCCTCTCCTTTCCCAGGCTCTCTGCTTTTCCCTCCTCCCTCCTGGGACTGTAGGCAAAGCCCCTGGCATGGACAGTGGGCAGGACAGCCAGATGCCTAGATTCCCTCCCCTGGATACCAATACTGGCACCAAGGATAGCTTTGGAGGGCTTTGATCCCCATAATCTCCACAGCATCTTCAAAATACCCCAAGTAAAGTGAGGTGCGCTCAATGCAAATGCAGCCTCAAGGCAGATCCCCAGCCTTCCATCTAGACTGCACCCTAGGTCCCTCTTGGGAACTCTGGACTGCTCCCCACTGAATGTGCCAGCGCCCCCACTCACCACTGCCTGGCTTTCACTCCCAGCGCTATGGACTTGGTTTCAAAGGGCTTTGAGAAGCTCACAAATAAAACCCACTCCAAATCTTTGAGGATCTAAAGGGAAGATTCTGGCCCCTTCTCAGAGACCCATCTACTGTAGGAACAGGACAAGAAGACCTGGGGGGTAGGGAGGGGTGGATGGTAAATTTCCTTACCGAGAAAAATGCAGGCCGGGTGCGGTGGCTCATGCCTATAATCCCAGCATTGGAAGGCCAAGGCGGACGGATCACCTGAAGTCAGGAGTTCAAGACCAGCCTAGCAAACATGGTGAAACCCCATCTCTACTAAAAAAATACAAAAATTGGCCTAGTGTGGTGGTGGGCACCTGTAATCCCAGTTACTCGGGAGGCTGAGGCAGGAAGGATTGCTTGAACCTGAGAAGCGGAGGTTGCAGTGAGCCGAGATCGTACCCCTGCATTACATCCTGGGTAATAGAGCAAGACTCCATCTCAAAAAAATAAAAAAAAGAAAAAGAAAAGAAAAGAAAAGAAAAATGCCCCAGAAAGGGATGCAAGACTGAAGGGAACAGAGGAAGGTGCTTAGGAGAGTCTGGGAAGGAAGGGATCTCAATCTATTTACTTTGTTAAACAAATATGAGTTGAATTGAATTCCAACTGTGGACCAGGAACTGCTCGAGGTCTGGAAATGCAGTTCCAATTATTCTAGTAGAAAGAGGGGATCTGAGAAGGCCTTTAGGGACAGGTCTGGGCAGCCTTAGGATGTCCTTTTGCTCCCTTAAGATGTTGCATCTCAGAGTTGCAAGAAAATCCCCCTTCCTCAGGACAGTCTCAGCATGGATGCGTGTGTCCAGCCTATCTCCACACTGGCTCTACAGGGCTTGAGGCCAGCCAGGCTGAGCCAGGCAACCAAGCGGCTGAAATTTAATCCCAGTGGTGGCTCAGATGTAACCACAGTTCTTGCCTCAGGGAAACCTGGCTGTGACCAGGGAAGGCAGAGAAAGTGACCTTCCTTACCACCTCTCCTCATGACCAGAAGGGTTGGCACTCACTTCGGTGCCCTGGGGGAGTCCACCCTTGACTGAGGCCAGCAGCACCTGGGTCTGGACAAGGGCTGGTATCAGACAGTCTGTTCCAAAAGGCAGATCCCTGGTGGGAGACCAGACGTGGTAAGAGAACAGACAGCTGCTATTGCACAAATGAGGACTCTGGCATCACAGGCACTGAGGTCAAATTCCTGTTTTGTCATTTGCAGTGGCAAACCTCAGAAAGGGCCCTGTTCCTCCTCTGAAGCTCTCTTTTCTGAACAAGGGGCTGAATAATATATACTGCACTGGGCAATATCTACTGTACCTGAACTGGGCAAGGGAAACCCCTGGCCCATGACTTGGGCTCAGCAAAATCTAGTTCTTTTCCTTTCCCAGTCACATACACATGCGCACACACCCAGCAACCTAATCTGCCCAGATCTCCTGGCCAGGAGGTCAGAGGACCACTCTCCTGGAGGGCTCACTATTTGGGAGCAGAATCCTTTGCAGAGGATTTATCAGGGGAGGAAATGGGCACTCTGAGCCTTTTTCAACATTTCCAGCTGAGAAAATGTATACTGAAGGCTAACCTGCAGTTTGAATCAGCAATTGCGGATCAGGGACTCTCTTCACAGTTACAGACCCTTGGCCATATGTGTCTTCCCCTGTTTCTATTCACTTTCTGAGAGGAGGCAAGAACCAAGACCTCCCTCTGCCTAGTCCTTCCAGATCTCAGAAAGAGATCCCCAGGGACTGGTTGAAAGCAAACAGAATCAATGGCAGTGGGAAGAATGAAAGTCAAATTTCAAGTAGAACCTCCTGTCTCAGTAACAGGAGAAAAATTTCTCCAGTAACCTTGAGTATCTTCTGAACATGGAAACTGAGACCCAAAGAGGTCAAGCAACTGTCCAGAGTCACACAGCATGGAATTGGCTGAACCATGACCAAAAATCAAGTCTCCCAGGCCAACGTTCTTGCCAGGGCTCCCCAGATGTCTATCAGGGCAGAGAGAAAGAGGGAGGTGGAGAGAAGAAAGAGAGAGAGAGGGAGAGCATGGGCAGCTCTCCTCCCTCTCCCACATGCAGCCCAGCTGGCTGCCTCCCAGTCTCCTGGGCCCTGGGGAATTTTCCAGCCTCTCTGGATGAGAACAATCAATCTCCTGCCTCCACCAGACCCCCAACATCCCCCATCCATGCCAAAGCCGAGGCCATGACCCAAGTTCAGAAAAGAGAATATCCCCTCCATGTTCCTGTACCCTGAGTTCCCCCCATCTCCAGTGTTAGCCCTGGGCCTTCCTCACTGGATTCTATTCCACAGTGGCTACTGGGAAAGCCTGTCCTGCCAACCTCCTTGAACACCTGCCTCCTTTCTCCCAGACTTGGGGTGGGGGCCTAGGCAGCTGAGTTCCTCTCCCAGGCCCTGCACAAGCATCTGGGTCTTGTGCCATGGGCATGTGGGAGTAGAGCTGAAGAGGGGGATGTGGCTCTGAATGCTGGCACAGCTGTGTTCAGAGAATGGGGGCTTTGATAGCTTCTGAAAGAGGCCAGGAAGCACAGGACCCCAGCCCAGGCGGGAGGGGGTGGGGGGCAGAAATGGCTAAGTGTGGCTCTGAGGGCTCCTGCTGCCACAGACAGGGAGTGTGGAGTGTGGAGTGGGAGGGGAAGTGGAACAGTAGGGAGACAGCAATGGGAACTACAGGCTGAACAGCATCATCAGAGAGCCCCCTGCTGCACCAGCAGGAGCCAGCGTCCCCATGAGCTGGTCAGACCGCGCTTTGAGGGTTGCAAACCCATGTGTTCAGAGAAGACCATCAGCTTGTTCCACAAAGAATAGTGGGAGGAATTGGAGGGCTGAAGCCCGAGTACATCTGAATCTACCTCATGAGGTCCCACCAGAAGGCCGCCTGTAGTGCCTCTCCCAGCCTCCTATGGGGAAGGACCACTTATTTCTCTGTGATGTAGGGGCAGGTACTAATCTCTCTGCACTTCAGTTCCTTCACCTGTAAAATGGTAATAACCCCTTGTTGTATGGTTTTGATGTTGGAGCCATATAAATGTTTTATATAATTAAAATACAAAATTAATTAGAGTTTACATTAATTTTAGATTAAATTAAAAAGAAGAAAAATAAAGCAATCCCTAAAAATATAAAACAAACTATAACAAAAGTACCTAACTGTATATGAAGTTGGAGCAAAACCACATAGAAGAATTTTCTTTCGGCCAGGCTCAAGCCTGTAATCCCAGCACTTAGGGAGGCAGAGGTGGGCGGATCACCTGAGGTCAGGAGTTTAAGACCAGCCTAGCCAACAAGGTGAAACCCCATCTCTACTACAAATACAAAAAATAGCTGGGTGTGGTAGTGCACACCTATAATCCCAGTTACTCGAGCAGCTGAGGCATGAGGATCCCTTGAACCTGGGAGGCGGAAGTCTCAGTGAGCCAAGGTTGTGCCACTGCACTCCAGCCTGGAAGACAGAGTGAGACTCTGTTTCAAAAAAAAAAAAAAAAAAAAAAAAATTATTTCAAGTGATTATAAAACTCAGCATTTTGACTATATCTCTCTAACCCTCTAAGGGTGAAAGGAGCCATGGATAAATTTTAATGTTGGCATTATCATTTTGAGAGTTATACACACACACACACACACACACACATATATATACATTTTTTTTTTCTTTTTTGAGACGGAGTCTTGCTCTGTCATCCAGGCTGGAGTGCAGTGGTGTGATCTCAACTCACTGCATGCTCCGCCTCCCGGGTTCACACCATTCTCCTGCCTCAGCCTCCCAAGTAGCTGGGACTGCAGGCACCTGCCACCACGCCTGGCTAATTTTTTATATTTTTAGTAGAGACGGGAGACAGGGTTTCACCATGTTAGCCAGGATGGTCTCGATTTCCTGACCTCATGATCCGCCCGCCTCGGCCTCCCAAAGTGCTGGGATTACAGGCATGAGCCACCGCGCCCAGCCTATTTTGAGAGTTATTATAACGTACTATTTATCATAATAAAGCGAATAAGTAATTAGTAATATTAATAGTGTTAGAAACCAAGATTTTGACTGTAAGAGAAGGAAATTTAAGCAAAAACTGCTAATCTTTTTTTTTTTTTTTTTTTGAGACAGAGTCTCTGTTGCCCAGGCTGGAGTGCAGTTGTATAATCTTGGCTCACTGCAGCCTCCACCTCCTGGGTTCAAGCGATTCTCCTGCTTCAGCCTCCGAAGTAGCTGGAACTACAGGAGTACACCACCATGCCCAGCTAATTTTGTATTTTTAGTAGAGACGGGGTTTCACCATATTGGCCAGGATGGTCTGCCCACCTCAGCCTCCCGAAGTGCTGGGATTACAGGCATAAGCCACTATGCCCAGCAAATACTGCTAATCCTTCATCTGAATTGGAACTATCAGCATGAACCCGTGCCACTGAAAAGGCTCAGAAGCAGTGACAACCCAATAACAATGAATCCCCTGTGTGTCCCAATTGTGATCTCCACATAGCACTTCCTACTAAAAGGAACAAGGACTCTTTGGTGAAATTCCAGGTCTGGGCCAGGATAGCTTGACAGACTAGAGAATAAGGAAGTTTGGCTGGGTGGGGTGGCTCACATCTGTAATCCCAACACTTTGGGAGGCCAAGGCAGGAAGATTGTTGGAATCCAGGAGTTGGAGACCAGCCTGGGCACATAGCAAGACTTGGTCTGTACCAATAAGAGAAAGAAAAGAAAAGAAAAAGACAAAGAAAAGAAAGAAAAGAAAGAAAAGAAAGAAAGAAAGAAAGAAAGAAAGAAAGAAAGAAAGAAAGAAAGAAAGAAAAAGAAAGAAAGAAAGAAAGAAAGAGAAAGAGAGAGAGAGAGAGAGAGAGGGAGAGGGAGGGAGGGAGGGAGGGAGGGAAGAAGGAAGGAAGGAAGGAAGGAAGGAAGGAAGGAAGGAAGGAAGGAAGGAAGGAAGGAAGGAAGGGAAGGAAAGAAAGAAGGAAGGAAGGAAGGAAGGAAGGAAGGAAGGAAGGAAGGAAGGAAGGAAGGAAGGAAGGAAGGAAGGAAGGAAAGAAGGAAGGAAGGAAGGAAGGAAGAATCGATCAGCTGGGTATGGTGTCACATGCCTGTAGTTCTAACTTCTTGAGAGACTGAGGCAGGAGAATCAGGTGAGTCCACAGTATGAGGCTGCAGTGAGCTAGAACGGTGCCACTGCACTCTCGCCTGGGTAACAGAGCAAGACCTTGTCTCTCTAAAACAAAAAAGAAAAAGAGAGAGAGAGAGAATAAGGAAGTTACAGTTATACAACTCAGGTTAGGTGAGGGTCATTTTAAAAAGACCCAGTAGCCAACTTGAGAAGACTCCCACTGACCGAAGATGAAACAGTTTCAGCATTAAAATGAATAATGACTGTATGAGATTGAAACACATCAAATACAAGAAAAGTTCATGAGTTCATAATTATACTGAAAAATAAAACCACTGGTCACCTTTGGACATTGATAGGGCACCGATTCAAGGTTTTGAAAATTAACAGGGGCTAGCACATCCTGTTGCTGGCCTGACCCATATTCTCTTAGCACTCAACAAACCAAAGACTGCTTGCTGCCCAAGGATATTTGTGTCTGTGGAGGAATGCTTGGCCTAAGTGCACAGTAAGTCAGAAGCGCCAGAAGGTTAATGCCCCTGGGACCAGCTCTCAACAAGTGACAGGTGGAGAGGTGGTAAATTATTATTATTGTTATTATTATTATTATTATTATTATTTGAGACAGAGTTTCACTCTGTTACCCAGGCTGGAGTGCAGTGATGTGATCTCGGCTTTGTAACCTCAGCCTCCCGGGTTCAAGTGATTCTCCTGCCTCAGCCTCCCCAGTAGCTGGGATTACAGGCACATGCCATCATACCTGGCTAATTTTTATATTTTTAGTAGAGATGGGGTTTCACCAGGTTGGCCAGGCTAGTCTCAAACTCCTGACCTCAGGTGATCTGCCCACCTCGGCCTCCCAAAGTGCTAGGATTACAGGCGTAAGCCACTGCGCCCAGCTGGAGTTGGTAAATTAAAACCCCAGCCTCCTCATCTCTCAGGTGGGAAAACGGTAGCAAGTTCTACACCAGCTCCCAGAGCGCCCCAGCAGGCATGCATTTCATTTGTCCACGGCCACAGCCTGTTCCATTATGCAGCATTTACTGGATTCCTTCCCTTTCTCGTCTCTGCTTGCCATCAAGATCTGGGAATTTTCAGACCCACCAAGTCATGAAGACATATGGGCACAGCAGCAACACAAATGGTACATTTAGAATTGGATGTAAGCATGTCCAGAGGGCATGAATAAGCTACAAGTGCAGGGAGTCCAGATCCCACTTTACCTGTCTCTGTTGCTCCTGTACCTCTCTCAGCTCACCCTGTAGACTTGTGGGAATTTCCCTATAACCAGGCTTTAGAGAAGGAAAACATGTAGGCCTGGTTCATGGGTGGGTCTGTCTGATCCATCAATATGAGTTAAACTTGGATGCTGCCACACTACAGCCCCACTCAGGGGTGGCCTTGAAAGACAATGTGAGGGGAAATCCTCCAGGGAGGACATTTCAAGCAGCACACTGGTGGTCTACTCTGCAGTGAGAGAGGTGACTTGAGGAAAGTATATACACGTGGATTCTTGAGCAGTGGCAGTGGCTTCATTGGTTGGTCAGGGGCCAGAAGAGAGCAAGATTGGAAGGTTGGAGATAAGGATGTCCGGGGAAGAGGTATATGGATGGACTTATAGGAGTGAGCAAAAAGTGATAAAACTTTGTGTCTTATATCAGTACCATTAAAGAACATTCACTGAAGAGGGGGCATTGAATAGCTAAGGGAACAGAAGGACTCCAGTGGATAAACCAGCCTTTGTCATGTCAGGGCTTCCATGGTGGGCCCATGAATGGAGTAGTTGTGGCAGTAGATCAGGAGTCTATGCAAGGGTCCACCAGCATGGGTGGCCTCTCATCACGGCTCGTCTAGCTACTGCCACTGCTGAATGTTTGGTCTGTCTGCAGCAGAAACAGATGCTGACCCCTCAACATGGTACCAGCCCTCAAGGAGATCAACCAAGCAGTTGATAGTATGTTTTTTGTTTGTTTGTTTGTTTGTTTGTTTGTTTTTGAAACAGAGTCTCACTCTGGTTGCCCAGGCTGGAGTGCAGTGGTGTGATCTCAGCTCCCTGTGGCCTCGACCTCCCAGGCTCAGGTGGTTCTCCCACCTCAGCCTCCTGGGTAGCTGGGATTACAGGTGCACACCCCTATACCTGGCAATATCTTTTTTTGTATTTTTAATAGATATGGGGTTTTGCTATGCTGCCCAGGCTGGTCTTCAACTCCTGATCTCAAGTGAGTGCCTGCCTCAGCCTCCCAAAGTGCTGGGATTACAGGTGTGAGTCACTGTGCCCGCCTGATGGTATGTTAATTTCAATGTATCTCTTTCAATCTGGGGGAGGAGCAATATGTCCTCACTGGGATTAGTGCATATTCGGGATAAGGATTTGTCTTTCCTGACTAAATGCCTTGGCCAGCACCAAATATCAAGGGCCCAAAGTCAATGATTTGTCCTTATGAGATCCCTTATAGTCTCACCTCTAACCAAGGGTGTCCACTTTATAGTGAAGGAAGTGTGACAATGGACACACAACCACAGGATCTATTGGTTCTATGCTATAATATATCACATCACCTTGAATCTTCCAGCTTGCTAGTACATTAGTATGGCCTCATTACAGCACATCTAAAGCCAGCTTGGGGAAAAGACCCTCCGGGATTTGGGTGCTGTCCTGCAAAATGCAGTACATGTTTTGAGCTAATGGTCATTATATAGTATTATACGCCAGATAACTAGAAATCAGGGGTACAGGAACCAAGGTATGGAAGAAGGAATACCCCTGTCACCTGAATCAGTCCTAGTGACTCATTTGGGGGAATTTGTGTGCCTCCTGTCTTTATATATTTAAGGTCTGTAGGATTAGAAGCCCTGGTTCTTGGAGTGGCAGATGCAGCTCCCAGAGGTCACAGTGAAGGTTCTACTAAACCTGAGGCTACAGCAGCCACTGGATCATTTGGGGCATCTCATACCAATTGGCCAGTACACAAAGAAAGGAATTATGCAAGCAGAGATATTTCATCATCATTATCCGATGATCAGGCAGTTGTACCAATGATGGCCTGGCAAGGGCATGGTAATGTAAGGCAGAGAACTTTAGGCATGAAGGCCTGGATTTTCCACTGAGAAAGCCCTGCAGACCAACAGAATGAACTGTAGAGGAGGGAAATGTTGAATGTTGATTTCAGCCTTGGAACCAACTGCAGCAATGGTTATGGTTTGTCCCACTAACCCACCGGTTGTACAATTTTTTTAAAAAAACAGATGCGGTCTCACTCTGTCACCCAGGCTGGAGTGCAGTGGCATGATTATGGCTCACTGCAGCCTCAAACTACTAGGCTCAAAAAATCTTTCCATATCAGCCTCCCTAGTAGCTGGGACTACAGACACATGCCACCATACCTAGTGAATTTTTAAATTATTTTTTAGAGACAGAGGTCTTGCTTTGTTGCTCAGACTGGTCTCAAACTCCTAGCTTTAAGTGATCCCCCAACCTTGGCCTCAAAAAGTGTTGGGATTACAAGCATGAGTCGCCACACTCAGCCTGTTGTTAAGACTTTCTTTTAAAAGGGTTAGAAATTACAATCAGCCACCACCTTGAAGCATCAGAGACAGGATAGAATGAACTCATGGAATGAGAGGCACGAATGGATCCTAGCAGTGCAAAGCGTGGATGGTACTGTGACCCACATCCTTCAGCATTCACCTCTAAAGGAGAAGTCATCTTTGTGAACATCTGTGACTCTGCCTGGAGGCATTTATTCTGGCTGTGGGAGCATGTTGTGCTCAGGGCAAACCAGGAATGCTACAGAGTTAATGCTCCCAGAATGAGGTCTCAACCAACAGAGAGGGAGTTGACAATTATATCCTATTTCTTTGCCCCTTGGGTAGGATTCTCTGAGGCAGCTTCTATACTTCTCCGAGGTTCCTAGCAGGATTTAACACCATTTGCCCACCTGCTCTAATACATGCCTCTAACTGGCCCCCTTCTCTTTCCTGTCCCACTTCTCCACTCCTCTCCCAGTGCCTATAAGCATCACTTACCAAATAAACTACTTACGTTCCTGACTCAAGATCTGCTTTTAGGAAGTAGATCTTCCTTAGCCCACCTAAGACAAATGGGAGATAATCAAGCATTAATTCTACCTTTCCTGAATGGGTGAAATGTCAGAGTAACAAAGCAGTTATTGAGAGCAGTTTTTCTTATAGATGATTCACAGCTAATAAACGAAGGTGGGCCTGGCACAGTGGGTCACGCCTGTAATCCCAGCACTTTGGGAGGCTGAGGTGGGCAGATCACTTGAGGTCAGGAGTTTGACACTGACCTGGCCAACGTGGTGGAACCCCTTCTCTACTAAAAATACAAAAATTAGCTGGGCATGGTGGCATGCAGCTGTAATCCCAGCTACTAGGGAGGGTGAGGCAGAAGAATCACTTGAACTCAGGAGGAAGAGGTTGCAGTGAGCCGAGATCAAGCCACTGCACCTCCAGCCTGGGTGACAGAACAAGACTCCATCTCAAAAAAAAAAAAAAAAAAAAAAAAGAAGAAGAAGAAGAAGGAGGAGGAATGACAAAATTAGACGATCTCCATTTTGCAACTGCTAATGAATGAATGAATCTAGACAATGATCATCAGTGCCATCAGATAAAAGGTTGATAGGTGAAGGGGGTCAAATGGTGGCCACAAGAAAATATGTCCATAGGCTGGGCACGGTGGATCATGCCTGTAATCCCAGCACTATGGGAGGCTGAGATGGGAGGATCACCTGAGGGAGTTTGATACCAGCCTGACCAACATGGAGAAACCCTGTCTCTACTAAAAATACAAAATTAGCCAGGGTGGTGGTGCTTGCCTATAATCCCAGCTATTTAGGAGGCTGAGGCAGGAGCATTGCTTGAACCCGGAAGGCGGAGGTTGCGGTGAGCTGAGATCGCACCATTGCACTCCAGCCTGGGCAACAAGAGCAAAACTCTGTCAAAAAGAAAGAAAGAAAGAGAGAGAGGGAGAGAGAGAGAGAGAGAGAGAGAGAGAGAGAGAGAGAGAGAGAGAGAAAGAAAGAAAGAAAGAAAGAAAGAAAGAAAGAAAGAAAGAAAGAAAGAAAGAAAGAAAGAAAGAAAGAAAGAAAGAGAGGAAAAAAAAGATAATATGTCCATGGCCGAATCCCTGAAAACTGTGAATGTTACCTTGTTTCAGGAAAGGATCTTTGCTGATGTAATTCATTACGTGAATTCATTCCTTAACTTCAGTTAAGGGTCATGAAATGAGTTCATCCTGGATTAGCCAGGTGGGGTACATCCAATGACGTGTGTCCTTACAAGAGATAGAAGAGGAAAAGACACAGACGCATGAAGAGGAGGAGGCTACATGACCACAAAGGCAGATATTGGAGTGATGCAGCTAAGGAAGCCAAGGAACAGAAGTTGGAAGAGGCAAGGAAGGGATCTGCCCACAACCTCCAGAGGGAGACAACCTAGGTTTTTGTTGTCGTTGTTGTTGTTGTTGTTGTTGTTGTACCACTGTGTTATTGAAAACCTAGATTTTGGACTTCTGGCTGATAGAGAATAAATGTCTCTATGGTAAGAGAATAAATGTATGTTGTTTTAAAAACAAAATTTGTGGTAATTTGTAACAGCAGATACCGGAAACTAATACAATGGAGACCTTTTATTTATTTATTTTTGAGATGGAGTCTTGCTCTGTCTCCCAGGCTGGAGTGCAGTGGCCCAATCTCGGCTCACTGCAAACTCCACCTCCCGGATTCAAACAATTCTCTTGTTTCAGCCTCCTGAGTAGCTGGGACTACAGGCGCCCGCCACCACACCAGGCTAATTTTTTTAACTTTTTTATTTTTAGTAGAGATGGGGTTTCACCTTGTTGGTCAGGCTGGTCTCAAACTCCTGACCTCAGGTGATCCTCCCACCTTGACCTCCCAAAGTGCTGGGATTACAGGTGTGAGCCACCGCACCTGACCTACAATGAAGAACCTTATAATTAATGGACAGACACTCTGAATTTACCAATCAGTCTCAACATCACTGAAAGTAGATTAAGGCTCAGGCGTGGTGGCTCACAGCTGTAATCCCAACATTTTAGGAGGCCAAGGCGGGAAGATGTTTTGAGGTCAGGAGCTTGAGACCAGCCTGGGCAACAATGGCGAGACCTTGTCTCTACAAAAAAAAAAAAAAAAGGCTGGGCTCAGTGGCTCAGGCCTGTAATCCCAGCACTTTGGGAGGCCAAGGCGGGTGGATCACAAGGTCAGGAGATCAAGACCATCCAGGCTAACATGGTGAAACCGCGTCTCTACCAAAAATACAAAAAAAAAAAAAAAAAAATTAGCCGGGCGTGGTGGCAGGCGCCTGTAGTCCCAGCTACTCAGGAGGCTGAGGCAGGAGAATGGTATGAACCCGGGAGGTGGAGCTTGCAGTGAGCCGAGATCGCGCCACTGCACTCCAGCCTGGGCAACAGAGCAAAACTCTGTTTAAAAAAAAAAAAAAAAAAACTAGCTGGGTGTGGTGGCACATGCCTGTCATCCCAGCTACTCAGGAGGCTGAAGCAGCAGGATCACTTGAGCCTGGGAGGCAAAGGTTGCAGTGAGCCAAGATCGTGCCACTGCACTCCAGCCTGGGTGACAGAGCAAGACTCCATCTCAAAAACCAAACAAAAAAAGAAAGTAGAACTACCAGTCACCAGGTGCCTCCTAATGTGATGAAAGAGGATACAGTATCACTTACGGAATGTTTCCAGAAAAAAAGTGAATGTGAATTTGTTTGTTTGTTTGTTTGTTTGTTTTGAGGTGGAGTCTCACTCAGTTGCCCAGGCTGGAGTACATTGGCGTGATCTCGGCTCGCTAAAACCTCCACATCCTGGGTTCAAGCGATTCTCCTGCCTCAGCCTCCTGAGTAGCTGGGATTACAGGCTCCTGACACCATGCCTGGCTAATTTTTTGTACTTTTAGCAGACATGAGGTTTCACCATGTTGGCTAGGCTGGTCTCAAACTCCTGACCTCAGGTGATCCGCCTACCTCAGTCTCCCAAAGTGCTGGGATTACAGGTGTGAGCCACCATGCCTGTTTGAATTTAATCAAACTTCTAAATATAATCACAGGGGACAAAGGAACATGTTAAATGACATTTGCAAGGGTACACTCAGCCAAATCCAGAATGTGGGAAACTTGACAGGAAAAAATGACCTAGTTTCTTGAACAAACAAATACAATGGCGTAGATAAAACGAAGGGGGCAGAAGTATTGTAACTTAACAGAGACTTAAAAAAAATTACTCAGGCCGGGCGCGGTGGCTCACACCTGTAATCCCAGAACTTTGGGAGCCCGAGGCAGGTGGATCATTAGGTCAGGAGATCGAGACCATCCTGGCTAACACGGTGAAACTCCATCTCTACTAAAAATACAAAAAAATTAGCCGGGTGTGGTGGTGGGCACCTGTAGTCCCAGCTACTCGGGAGGCTGAAGCAGGAGAATGGCGTGAACCCGAGAGGTGGAGCTTGTAGTGAGCCAAGATTGCGCCACCGCACTCTAACCTAGGTGACAGAGCAAGACTCCATCTCAGGGGAAAAAAAAAAAATTACTCAGGAGGCTGAGGCAGGAGGATAACTTGAACCCAGGAATTAAAGTCTAGCCTGGGAAACATAGTGAAACCCTGTCTGTTAAAAACAACAACAAACAAACAAACAAACAAAAAAACAAAAAACAAAAAAAACCCTCAGCCCCCAAATTAACCAACTGCAAATTTGTAGACCTTAGTTGGATTCTGGTTTGAGCAAATCAGCTGTAAAATTTTATTTTTTGGACATTCAGGGAAAAATGATCATGAACTAAGTATTAGATGACTAATATTTAGTTTAATTTTGTTGGAGAAGTGTGATAATGGAATTATGGTTATTTTTAGAAGTCATCGTGTGTTAGAAATGCATATTGAGTCTTACAGGTGAAATGATAGGCTATCTGGGATTTACTTTCAAATACTCCAGTAAAACCCAACATGACTGAGAGGACCCATGAAAAAAGAAGGGCAGAATTTTGATAATGGCCAAGCCAGGTGATGGAGTAGTTCATCATACTATTCTCCTTACTTTTGTGTATGTTTCAAATTTTCTATAATAAGAAATAATGGTGATAGCAATATACAGAGTAGTTGTAGGAATGAGTGGTATTGTGGTTTTGTGATTGAAGAAATGGAGATTTGCAGCAAATGGAAAGCTCTTCTCATGGCCTTTTTCACTTTTTTTTTTTTTTTTTTTTTTTTGAGACGGGGTCTTGTTTTTTCCCAGGCTGGAGTGCAGTGGTGTCATCTCGGCTTACTGCAGCCTCAACCTCCCTGGCTCAAGTGATCTTCCCACCTCAGCCTCCTGAGTAGCTGGGACAATAGGAGTGTACCACCAAGCCCAGCTAATTTTTGTATTTTTTTGTAGAGACGAGGTTTTGCCATGTTGCCTAGGCTGGTCCCAAACTCCTGATCTCAAATGCCTCGGCCTCCCAAAGTGCTGGGATTACAGGCATGAGCCACTGTGCCCGGCCCATGACCATTTCTTGTATGATCTCTTGCCCTTAGGCTGAAGGCATTACACTGAAGAAAAGCCATCCTCCTGCTGGCTGAGCTGCTGGGGTCCAGTATCTTGGCTTTCTGGGGCTCTGACTTTATCATAGGCAATAGCTTAGACAACCCAGAAAAGGGGTAGATGGATGGGTGACTACCAATATGTCCCAGAGTCTAGACTGCTCTCCTTTGTGCTTATGGTGGACACTGATGCTGTTCAGCAAATATTTCCAGTTTTCCTATTTCTAGGCCAAAGAAGGATTGCTCTTTCTTGCCCCCTTGTGGTTGGGTGGGGCGATGTGATTAATTCTGGCAAATGAGTTGTCAGCTGAAGGGACAGGTGTCACTTCTGGGTGGGAGCTATTAATTGCCTTTGTGAAACCCTGCAGAGCTCTTATTATTTTTTCCTGCTAGTATGGTGACTGACAGTATTCGAGATGGTGGGTACTCTATCAGCCTGTGTCCCTGAATGACAAAAATAAGAACTCCGTTGTTGGCCGTGTAGCCTGAGAAATAAACCTTTTTTTGTTTGTTTGTTTGTTTGTTTGTTTTTTGAGACGGAGTCTCACTCTGTCGCCCAGGCTAGAGCGCAGAGGTGCGATATCTGTTCATTGCAGCCTCTGCCTCCCGAGTTCAAGCAATTCTCCTGCCTCAGCCTCCTGAGTAGCTGGGATTACAGGCACCTGCCCCCATGCCTGGCTAATTTTTACATTTTTAAAGTATAGACGGGGTTTCACCATGTTGGCCAGGCTGGTCTCAAACTCCTGACCTTAAATGATCCGCCCACCTCAGCCTCCCAAAGTTTTGGAATTACAGGTGTGAGCCACCGCGCTGGGCCTGATTTTCCTATCCTTAATAGTAGTCCCCACAAACGCTTCTGGGAGATCTGCAGGCTGCACATTTTGAAATATGTTTAAGTCGTCTTACATTTGCTATCTAAGATTTGGGAGTTGTTTTCACAGCATAATCTACATGATCTTGACTAATATAGTGCCATAGGACAACCAACCCTCCAGGCTGCCTGATAAGAAGCTGAAAAACTACTATTGTTGCTATATTACTGTAATCACAATAATTATTAATTATTATAGGTACCACTTGAGTGCCTATTATGTGTACCAGGCATGTACTACCCAGTACATGCAATGCCTCAACTGATTCTCACAACAAACACAAAAGACAAACACTACTATCCCATATGAAGATGAGAAAGTCAAGGTTTAGGAAATGGCACAAATATCTCATTTGTTGCGTGATGGTTTTTGAAGATGCTGTTCATTCTATCATTCTCTGTCCCTTATATAATGTTCCATGGCATGAATTCTCTTTAGCAATTATAGCAAGAACCCCCTTGGAAATCAATTTTACTATATATATCAAGCACCATTAGCTTGTTCATGCCCTTTGCCCCATTCATTAGTATTATCCAGCTCAGGCTTTTTGTAGTATAGTTAGAAACCTGTGTATATACACACCAACATATATGTGAAAAGTGAATTAATAACATTATAATTTGTCTCTTGAATTGTTAGTATGTTTCCTTTAGCCACGAGTTAAGAATGTTACTTGTCCAGTTGCCCGTTTCCTTTGGTGGCCCTGGTGTTTGATGTTTGCCTCCTCCTTCTGCAGGGTTAATTTCCTGTCAATTCCAGCAAGAATATCACTTTCCTATCTCTAACAGTAGTCTGCGCAAACGCTTCAGGGAGGTCTGCAGTCTGCACATTTTGAAATATGTTTAAGTTGCCTTTTTTTTTTTTTTTTTTTGAGACGGAGTCTTGCTGTGTCGCCCAGGCTAGAGTGCAGTGGCGCAATCTCGGCTCACTGCAAGCTCTGCCTCCAGGGTTCACGCCATTCTCCTGCCTCAGCCTCCCGAATAACTGGGACTACAGGCGCCCACCACCATGCCCGGCTAACTTTTTGTATTTTTAATAGAGACGGGGTTTCACCGTGTTTGCCAGGATGGTCTCGATCTCCTGACCTCATGATCCGCCTGCCTCGGCCTCCCAAAGTGCTGGGATTACAGGCGTGAGCCACCGCGCCTGGCCCTAAATTGTCTTATGTTTGTTATCTGGGGCACACAGTGTAGGCCTGGTGGTATGGGGCGCCCCTAGCAGATTTGAACTAATCTTAGGTGTGAGGCGCCCCCGCGTGGCGCCTGGCGCAACAACATGCTGGATTCTCCTGCGTGGGCCAGGCGCCCACGTCGTCTCCAGTTCTCCCTCTCCCTTGGCCTATTAGTGCCCTCCCACCGCACTTCCGCTCTTCCGCTGACCCACCCCGTAACGGCAACAGCCCTGCCCCTTACCCTGTCTTAGGTGCTCAGTGGGCATGCAGGATCACGGGTCATCAGCCCCGACATGCGCGCGCGAGCACACACACACACACGCACACACACACCTCTCCACGCTTCGCAGCGCTTACAGCTCCGCCCAACACAAAAGATTCCCAGGTTATTTTATTGCTGTACTCAGAGGTCAGTTAATGCCCCCGGCCGCCTCTCCCTCCCCTCGGCAGTGGCTGAGTCCTCTCCTGGGGCTCGCGAACCGCAGCGGGTCCGAGGGTCACCGCCGCATCTCGCCGCTGGGGGCGCCCCCGCTTCCCCTCCCCGCCGCCGGGCCAGCCAGGGTCCGAGGCCCGCAGGCCCCGGCTGGGAAGACAGGTCTGGAGAGGCCGCTCCGGGTCTGGAGGGAGGGGAGGTTCTCCGGAAAGGGGTGGCGAGAGAACCCCGCCACGACTGCCAAGCTTCGTCGCGCGCGCTGGAGGGGACACGGTGGGCGCCTAATTCTCGGCGTAGCAGTAGGTCCCATAGGCTGCCTGCTGGGGCCTGGGGAAGCCGAAGCTGCGTACTCCGGGATCCGGGAGCCCCCCGCAGCGCGGCCGCGGCGTGATGATTGGGAAGCGCACACTGCCGTCAGCCAGCCAGCCGCCGTCGCACTGGTCTAGCCCTGAGAACTTCCAGGCGGCGTAGAGGTGCCCAACCTTGGCCACCACAGCGCCTCGTCGCCTGCACGCCGCGTGGGCTTCAGACAGCGTCAGCCGCCCGGGCACGAAGAACACTTGACCTGGGGATCACAGCGGGTCACCGACCGAAAGTAGGGTAGGCGGGCGGGGCGGGGCGGCTGACTCCCAGAAGGCGGAGTTGGGGGGCGGGGCCGCAGAGGTGCTGGATCGAGCTTGGGTACTAGGAGTGGGGGGATCGAGGCAGAAGTGCAGGGAGGGTTTGGAGAGGTGGGCTGGAGCCCGGGCGGACGGGCGAGCGGGCTGATGGAGGGGCGGTGCCTTGGAGGGACCCGGAGACGCTGCCCTGGTCTCAAGCTGAGGTCCACTCCTCGCCCCCCACATTTTTCAGACCCCGCCCCAAGACCCTGCCTTCGCCCCGCGCTTCACCTGCCAGCGCGGAGGTGAAGCAGAAGGCGTCGTAGCGGTCGCGCATCCGGTCGCGGGGCCCGTAGCTGCGGATCCCGGGCCGGCCTCGGCCGCCGCACGGGGCGCGTGCAGTGAGCACAGGGTAGCGCACGGAGCCCTCGAGCAGCCAGCCCGCGTTACACCAGTCCAGACCCTCGGTCCAAGCTGGCGGGAGACGGCGGGGGTCGGGGATGAGAGGCGTCACAGGCAGGAGCCAGACTGAGCTCGCCTGGCGCCCTTTCTCGGGCCCCTGAGACAGCTCCGCGGGGCCTGGGAGGTGCTGGGTTCAGCCGCTCACCCTGGTAGAGCTGGGAGTAGGTGGCCAGGCGTCCGTCCTGCTCCTCGCACGCTTGCTTCGCCTCGTAGTAATTGAACTGGTACCGGCCCCGGCTCGGTTGGTACGGAAACACCACACCTAGGGGGTGGTGGAGAGCCTGGGGAGGGCCAGCAGACGGGAGCGGAGGGGGAGGAAGGGTGGCGCGGCCTGGGAGAGGGAGCTGGGGTCCCCAGGGGTGAGGGGGAGATACTGGAAAGGAGCCCTGGGAGACCCAGGCGAGGCGGTCCCGCCTGCTACAGAGGAATGGGGCGGGAGCGGAAGGGCCTCACCCTCCAGGCTCAAGGTCAGCGCCACGCTCTCGTCCTCGATGCCGTTGATGAGCTCGCAGCGGTACCGGCCTTCGTCCTCCAGGCGCACGCCCGCGATGACCAGGGAGGCGTCTAGCCGATGCCCCCTCCGCATCCTGGCGCGCCCTCCCAGGGGCCCATACCCCCGGGCGTGCAGTCCGTTGGTGACGAGGATCAGAGTTTCCCGGAGCTCCCCAGGCTCCACCTTGCTCCAGCGCACCTTATAGCTGGGAGGCGTGGTGCCCAGGACACAGGGCAGCGTGGCCGTGGCCCCACGATGAGAGTGAATGACCTCATGGATGGGGGGCAGGAGGTAGTGGGGGCCCGGGTGGGATGCTGAGCAGAGGGGGCCACAGTGGCAGGAACCCCCGATCCTCACTGCTCCAAGTGCCCATCAGACCCTGCTCTCCAAATGCTTTCTCCAGAGCCCCCCAACCCTCTCCTCCATTGCTTTCTCAGCAATGACTTTCACTCCCTGAGTACCTGCAATAACTGCCCTTTCCCCTTTCCCCACCCTTGCAGCCTCCCCAAGCCTTCCCCAGATTCTGGCCTGGGCTGGGGTCTTACCTGGGTCTCCTTGGCCTTTGTGGAAGATGGTGAAGGCCCAAAGAAGGAAGCAGCAGAGTGTGGGGAGGGTGAGCCCACCTGGCATGATGGGGGGCAGCCCAGCACTGTCTGCAGGGCACAAAGAGTGGGCAGTTAGGACTGGGGCAAAAGGATGGGGAAAAGCAGGGTTGTCAGTGAACTCCCATCAGAGATTCCTAGAAGGGACTGTCCAGTTGGAAGCCACTGGGGCAGAGAGAAGGGGTAGGTGACAAAAGGAAGGTGATGAGGGGAGGAAGGCAGTGGCAATCCCCTTCCTCTCCCTCTCTTCCTCTGTCACATCCTCTCAGCCTGCAGGTACTAATTTAGCATCTCCTCTACCTGTCCCCTTCATCACAAGTGCCACTTCCCAAGCTTGCCATCTGGACTGCCAGCTCGTCTCTATCCTCTCCCAGCACCCATTCTCCATCTTGAAGCCAAAGTCAAAATGATCTTATCACTCTCCTGCTTTTTTTTTTGTCTTGAGACAGAATCTTGCTCCATGTTCCAGGCTGGAGTGCAGTGGCATGATCATGGCTCACTGCAGCCCCTAACTTCTAGCCCCAGGTGATCCTCCCACTTCAGCCTCCTGAGTAGTTGGGACTACAGACATGTGCCACTACCCCAGCTAATTTTTTCTTTTAAGTTTTTAGTAGAGACAAAGTCATGCTGCGTTGACAAGGCTGGTGCTGGGATTACAGCAGGCGTGAGCCACTGTGCCTGGCCTTGTCACTCTCCTGCTTGAAAGTGACTCCCGGTTGCCCTGAGGATAAAATCCAATCTCATAACCACAGCTTCCAAGGCTGTCTATAATCCAGTTGCTCCCTGCACCTCCAGCACGGCCCCCACCTCGCCTCTTACCACTTTGGCCCCTGCACTGTGCCCCAGACATGCTGGACTTCTGGCAGTTTCCCACACAGTCCAAGTTTGCACTCATTTCCTTTCCTTTGTGCCTGCATTGGTTGCACAGGCCTCACCTCCTTTGGGAAACCTTTACTCACCCCCAGTTTGCCGCACTGTAGAGCACTGTGATCTGCTGGACTGGGGACCTTTTTTTTTGAGATAGGGTTTCACTCTCTTGCCCAGACTGGAGTGCAGTGGTATGATCATGGCTTACTGCAGCCTCGCCCGCCCAGGCTCAAGCCATCCTCCCATTTCAGCCTCCTGAGTAGCTGGGACTATAGGTGCACACCACCATGCCCCACTAATTTTTTTTTATTTCTTTTCTATTTTTTGTAGAGATGGAGTTTCAAAATGTTGCCCAGGCTGGTCTTGAACTCCTGGGCTCAAGTAATCCTTCTGCCTTGGCCTTCCAGAATGCTGGGATTACAAGCATGAGCCATCACACCCAGCCAGGACATTTTTTGTCTTACAAGTACTTTTATTAGCACCTAAACTTAACAGGGTGAATTTGAACATAATATGTATCCGTATATAGACTATATCAAGGAGGTTTTCCAGAAATTACGAAGTTAAAATATATAAAATTATAAAGTTATTTTTAAAAACTACTTTAAATGCAATTATCTATTTCAGTACAGTAGTTGATTTCCCCCCTTTTAAAATTTTTTTAAAATAAGATACAGGGTCTTACTATGTTGCCCAGGCTGGCCTCCAACTCCTGGGCTCAAGCAATGCTTCCACCTCAGCCTCCTAAATAGCTGGAACTACAGGTTTGAGCCACTGCACACAGCTTCTCCTTTATTGTATCATTCTTCTTCTTTTTTTTTTTTTTTTCCTGAGACGGAGTTTCACTCTTGTTGCCCAGGCTAGAGTGCAACAGCACCATCTCAGCTCACTGCAACCTCCGCCTCCCGGGTTCAAGCAATTCTCCTGCCTCAGCCTCCCAAGTAGGCTGGGACTACAGGCACCCACCACCACTCTGGGCTAATTTTTGTATTTGTAGTAGAAACAGGGTTTCACCATGTTGGCCTGGCTGGTCTTGAGAACTCCTGACTTCAGGTAATCCACCCTCCTTGGCCTCCCAAAATGCTGGGATTACAGGCATGAGCTACCGCCTCTGGCACCTGTTGTATCATTCTTATCCCCTTGACCTTAAAAAAAAAAATTGGACTAGGCCAGGCACAGTGGCTCACGCCTGTAATCCTAACACTTTGGGAGGCCGAGGCAGGTGAATTACTTGAGGTTAGGAGTTCAAGACAAGCATGGCCAACATGGTGAAATCCTGTCTCTACTAAAAATATAAAATTTAACTGGGCATGGTGGCATGCACCTGTAAGTCCAGCTACTAGGGAGGCTGAGGCAGAATTGCTTGAACCCAGGAGGTGGAGGTTGCAGCGAGCCGAGATCGTGCCACTGCACTCCAGCCTAGGGGATAGAGCAAGACCTTGTCTCAAAAAAAATGAAGACTTCTCGACTTCACTGTATTCATTTTCCAAATCTGGCTGCTCTATTTCCTAATTGCATGACTACGCATAAGTTAATTATCATGCGCAAGTTACTTAACCTCTCTCTGCCTCAGTGTCCTCATCAGTGAAATGTGGGGAATAATAGCACACCTACCTCACTGAGTAGTTGTGAGGAGCAACTGAATTGATATATGCAAAGTGCTTGAAATAGTGTCTGGAATGTAATAAGTGCTGTGTATGTGTTAGCTGTTATCTCCAGTTCCCAGCATAGTTTCTGGTACATAGTCGTTTTAAATAAGTGTGTGTGGCTTAATGAATGAACTTTCATTAAGGATTCATGAGAAGACGGGATGGGGAATGGGGAAACGGAGGAAGCACCCTGAGAAGTCACCAGAAATCTAAAGAATGGAGCTCCATCTTCCTGCAAATGAGGACCAAAGACCAGCTTGCTGTAGGAGAAACAGAGGTTAGGCACAGAAAACTTCTCAGTGGTTAAAAGTGAAAGTATCTGGGATGCGAACATGAGCAAGAGAACACTTCTTTATAGGAGAACTTGGTAAGTAAGAGTGATCGTGAGGACTGAAATTGACTGAGACCAACAATGATAGTTCAAATGAATACCTTTAAAATTGAATGTGCCTGACACTGCTCTAAGCACTTTACATGCATATTTTTATATTTACTCCTCCCAGCAATCCTGAGGCAGAAACAATTATAAATCCTATTGTACACATGCTGAAACCAAAGTACACACATTTTAGGAAATGAGGTCACACAGCTGGTAAGAGGACGGGTTTGCTGGGATTTGAATCCAGATCTGACAGTGAGGCTCAAGCACTTAATCACTAATCTATATTTCTGTATTTCAAAACAAGTGCACACACATGCTCTTCATACCCCTTACAGAAAATACGAGTAGTCAGCAGCTCCATTGCCTACCTGTTAGAAGCTGGTCTCTTCACAGAGACGGAGGGAGCAGTGCTTAGCAGCTTTTTGTCTTGCTTGAGGAAGAGGTTCTGGATGAAGGTTTTGCCAGGCTCCTGGGAGTTCCAAGCACCTTAAAACCCTGGGACTTGAGCACCTGTTCAACACAGTTGCTCCTTTTGCACCTTTGAGGAAAAGCTTCTGTCCTGTGCTCAAAGAAGAAGCCAAGATGCCAAGAACAACCCCCTCCCCCATCAGTCCACTAAGCCTTGTTAAGAGACCTTTGTCCAGCCCAGATCTGTGGAAATCACTATTCTGGGACTAGGGGAAGATGCTGGGCTTGGGATGAGGGCTGGGAACCCATGAAGGGCAGTGGAATAAAGGGAGCAACCCAGGAATGATGACCTGGAAGAGTGCAGAAAGTGAGGTGCTTCATTGTTTCTTGATGCCTTTGGACGACAGAGGTGTAGATTGATCGGTGGATATGAAGGTGTTGGACTGATGGGGATGGAGATGAACTCTAAATGTGGCTCAAAGATCTATAACTGCCAAGCTTGAGCTGCCTCCCTTTCCATATGCACCTCATGTAAGCAGCATCCCCATCTCCCCTCTCCCCACAAGAGAGTACTCACCTCTGCCCTCTGGTGCCTGACTGCACATTGCCTTTGCAAACGGACTCTCAGGTGGGAACCATCCAGGACTTTCAGCTGCTTCAGGAAACCGGACCTCTTCTGTACAACCCCCCTGTCTGTCTGTCTGTCTGTCCTTTCCTTCTCAGTCCCCACCCCATCGGAAGCACAATTTCCCATTGTCTCTGTCTTTTCCCCTATTGTTGAATAACAGGGCCCCTTTCTTTATTCTGTGGGTAATGGCAATGAAATGTCAACAGCTGGGGATGTGGGATGCAGGACCGGCTGGCACATACCACCGGAAAAGGGCCTGGGTTGGGGGTGGGCTCAGAACAGGAATTGACATCCCCAAGAAGAAGAGAATAGGGTGAGGGGCAGAGAACGGATGGTGAAAAGGTTGAAATGGAATCTCTCTCAACACTCCAAACTACAGGGCTCTAAAGAGATTTTGTCTAAGGCCAGGGGAAAGGCTGGGCTCCATGAGGGCAGAGGGAGTGGCTAGCATTGCAATAGGAGAGATGGAGATCAGACAGTAAGGAGGATTTTTCATGTTCCCTGGTGAGGAAGAATTTCTGAGGATAGAAGGACTTTGGAAATCTCTCCAAAAGAGAGGTTATCTTATTGGTTCCCTAATATTCTACCTCTTCCCTCAGCACAAATAGATAACATTTTTAAAATACTCAGAAGGGGATCCTTAGTTTTCCTGGATGGAAATTCACTTTCTCTAAAGTTCTTTTTTTGTTTCTTTGTTTTTTTGTTTTTTTGTTTTTTGACACGGAGTCTCTCACTGTCGCCCAGGCTGGAGTGCAGTGGCGTGATCTCGGCTCACTGCAAGCTCCGCCTTCTGGGTTCACGTCATTCTCCTGCCTCAGCCTCCCAAGTAGCTGGGACTACAGGTGCCTGCCACCATGACCGGCTAATTTTTTGTATTTTTAGTAGAGATGGGATTTCACCGTGTTAACCAGGATGGCTTCGATCTCCTGACCCCATGATCTGCCCGCCTCGGCCTCCCAAAGTGCTGGGATTACAAGCATGAGCCACCGCGCCTGGCCTTTTTTTCTTCTTTTTTTAAGACAAGGTCTCCATCTGTTGCCCAAGCAGGAGTGCAGTGGCCCAATCATTGTTCACTGCAGCCTCAAACACGTGGGCTTAAGAGATCTTCCCCACTTAGCCTCGAAATTAGCTAGGACTACAGGCACACACCACTACACCCGTCTAATTAACTTTTTTTTTTTTTTTTTTGAGACAGAGTCTGGCTCTGTTACCCAGCCTGGAGTGCAGTGACACAATCTCGACTCACTGCTCTGCCTCCTCCTCTTACCTCAGCCTTCAGAGCAGCTGGGACTACAGGTGTGCACCACCATACCCAGCTAATTTTTGTATTTTTTTGTAGAGATGGGGTTTCACCATGTTGCCCAGGCTGGTCTCGAACTCCTGGGCTCAAGCAATCTGCCCACCTCAGCCTCCCAAAATGCTGGGATTACAGGCGTGAGCCACCATGCTGGGCCTAATTAAGTCCATTTTAAAATCTTTCCATTGAGGTATAATTTACATACAAAAAAGTCATTGAAATTATGTGTACAGCTAAATGAATTTTTACCTGTGTACATTTAATGTACACAGGTAAAAACCCACCAGATCAAGATATAGAACATTTCCAACAATGTCGAATAGGCCCAGTTGTTTTTGTTTTCTATCAATGCAGAGGGAGGGCTCCCTCGACCTGCCCCTGTAAACAGCCATTTGGAAATGTTTTGAGCTTTAAGTTCCATTTTAGCCTTATTTTCTCTCTGCTATAGCCGCATGGAAGTAGCTTTGCATATTAAAACCATATAATTTCATGTTCTGTGAGTTAAAAATTAAAAAAAAAAAAATTGAGGCCGGGCACTATGGCTCACGCCTGTAATCCCAACACTTTGGGAGGCCGAAGTGGGTGGATCACCTGAGGTCAGGAGTTCGCGACCAGCCTGGCCAACATGGTGAAACTCTGTCTCTACTAAAAATATAAAAATTCGCCAGGCATGGTGGTATATGCCTGTAATCCCAGCTCCTTGGGAGGCTTGAGGCGGGTGAATCCCTTGAACCCGGGAGAAGGAGGTTGCATTGAGCTGAGATCGTGCCACTACACTCCAGCCTGGGCAAAAGAGTGAGACACCATCTCAAAAAACACAACAAAACAACAACAAAAAATACCCTTTCAGAACTGGAGGAGACCTCAGGATGCTGAACATTTACTAGAGGAGGAGATGGAGATGAAGGTGGCTTGCCCCAAATCACACACCATACAGTCGTTGAGTCAAGCCTAGAAGTTTCCGCTTTTTCTACTAATCCTCTTCTGCCTCTCTCCTTGGCTGTCCAATTCAGACAAGTTCCAGGTTTTCACTAGGGTCATATCTAATAACAGGAAGCCACCTTGAATATACTTTCTTTCTTTCTTTTTTTTTTTTTTTTTTTTGAGACAGGGTCTCACTCTGTCACCCAGGCTGGAGTGCAGTGATACGATCATGGCGCACTGCAGCCTCGACCTCCCAGGTTCAAACAGTCTCTCCCATCTCAGCCTCTCAGGTAGCTGGGTGCACAGATGTGCACCACTACACCCAGCTAACTTTTAAAAATTATTTGTAAAGACAGGGTCTCCCTGTCTTGCCCAGGCTGCTCTCAAACCCCTGTACTCAAGTGACCCTCCCGCCTCGGCCTCCCAAAGTTGTGGGATTACAGGCGTGAGCCACTGTACCCGGCTGACTATACTCTTGAGAGATCTGATTGGCTATCTTTTCCCTATCTACTCCATCCCTGTTCTTAAGCGCTTCCCTCCTCCTCCCACGACTGTCTCTCTCATGAGAGAAGACAAATAGCCCCCTGTATCCTTGGACAGGACACCCTGATCCAGTGCATCTGATTGGCTTCCTGCCAACTCAAACAAACAGCCTCCGACAGAGGGAGGAGTAGATATAAATGGCTCCACAGCCTGGTCACTGCGTCCATTCCCAGGCCCATTTCTCCACAAATTTACTGCTCCTTTCTCCACAAATCACTTCTGAACTGTGGCTTGGAAGTCTCTGGTATGTAAATCCATAAAAGGCTGAGTTTGACGGGGAGGAAAGCCTAGAACTATTTGATAGATGCAAAAACAACCCAGTGAGGATCGAATGAGAAAGGAACAGACAGGAATACATGTAATAAATAGCCAAACTGTGTTTAGTTTACTCAAGGTCACTTTCATTCTCAGTTTCCCCCCAGACGCTAAAACGGGAGTGGGGTGAGATGGCTGAGGCAAGCTGGGGTCTCCTCACTGACCCAGCATCTCTGAGGAAGGGCTTTGTCAGTCCTATACCTACTGACCAGAATGTGGTGGAGTGATTCCAGACAAGCATGGAGTCCCGACATCTTCTCTAACACCCACGTTCGGCTTCCACCATCCAAGCAGGTTCAGCTGGCCAGTTTTCCTGACCCCTGGTGATGGCAAGCATGGTCCCAGTTTATGACTAGGATTGTTGTGTGAATGACTGGAAGGGTTGGCAAGATGACACTTTAGGGAGGACTTCAAAAGGAGTGACTCTCTCTGGTCTTTCTCTTTCCAACATTTTTTTAATAATTTTTTTTTTTAAAGATGGGATCTCTAAATTTTTTTTTTAAGAGATGGGATCTGGCCGGGTGCGGTGGCTCACGCCTATAATCCCAGCACTTTAGGAGGCCATGGCAGGTGGATCACGAGGTCATGAGTTCAAGACCAGCCTGGCCAGCGTGGTGAAATCCTGTCTCTACTAAAAATACAAAAAGTTAGCTGGGCATGGTCATGCGCACCTGCCCAGCTACTTAGGAGGCTGAGGCAGGAGAATCACTTGAACCCAGGAGGTGGAGGTCGCAGTGAGCCGAGATTGCACCACTGCACTCCAGCCTGAGCAACTGAGCAAGACTCTGTCTGAAAAAAAAAAAGAAAGAGAGAGAGATGGGATTTGTCTCTGTGGCCCAGAACTGCAGTACAGTGGTGCGATCATTGCTCACTGCAGCCTCAAACTTCTGTGTTCAAGTGATCCTCCTGCCTCACCCTCCTGATTAGCTGGGACTACAGGCGGGCACCCCCATGCCTGGCTCTCCAGCATTTCTCCAGGGCCAAAAGGCAGCAACATTGAACTCGGCCTGATGCTTTATTTGGACACTCACCTAGACTCCACTCCTGACCACATATAGAGGCCTGGAGTATGCAAGGCATACCCCCCAGAGCGTGCAAGGTAGAACTCTGCAGTACAAACCTTTATAGCTACTGGGCATAGAAGACCTTCTAGTAGAGGACAGGAGGCTTGGGTTCTAGTTACAGTTCTGCCACAGTGTCACGTTCGGTGACACAGGCCCAGGCTTCGCTGCTGGGCCTGTTACTTCATCTGCACAATGGAAACTCAATTCTATTTAAATTATTTTCTGAAGGGCCTCAGTCTGCAGAGACACAGAAGCAAATGACTTTATGAAGCTCCTGACTGTATGAAGTTCTCAGTCAAACAGAAAAGCACCTCTTCTGCCCATCTCAGAAGTAGATGAGGGCAAAGTGAAATAATGGAAAGCACAAGGAACAGTAAAAGGCAAATGTCAAGAAGCTGTTTGCAAAGTCACCAAGATGTAAAATTAGATTTTACTTATTAATAATCGTATCACTTGTCATTCTGTTTATAACGGTCAGTTCACTGCTGATATTCAAGTGGACCATTTAAACTGTATTTTTGCTCAACTATCCCTCCAAATAAATATCTCAAGATCTTGACTGTTTATTTTCTTACCCCATCTTATTCTCCCAGGCCTCAAAGCTTGGTGTCTCAAATCCCTGGCTTGTCTTCTCATTCTGGCCAGTCTAGGCGGGGTCTGGCTTCAGTTTGCACAGATTCTCACTCCCAGTCTCATATTGGTCAAACAAACCCAGAAGTAAGATCTACAAGTATTAATCGACCATTCTCAGAATAGGATTGGAATAATTTTAAAAAGTGAACTCTGGCCGGGTGCCGTGTTCACACCTATAATCCCAGCACTTTGGGAGGCCGAGGAGGGTGAATCACAAGGTAACGAGCTCGAGACCAGCCTGGCCAACATGGTGAAAGCTGTCTCTACTAAAATTACAAAAATTAGCCAGGTGTGGTGGCGCATGCCTGTGATCCCAGCTACTCGGGAGGCTGAGGCAGGAGAATCGCTTGAACCAGGGAGATGAAGGTTGCAGTGAGCTGAGATTGCGCCACTGTACTCCAGCCTGGTGACAGAGTGAGACACCGTCTCAAAAAAAAAAAAAAAAAAAAAAAAGTGAACCCTATCTTATAGCTGTATGTTCTTTCACGTGGGAGAAATAAATTCTATCACAGTATTATTATTCCCATTTTATAGACCAGGAAACTGATGTCCAGAAAGGGTTTGTAAGTTAGTAACTTGTTCAAGTTCCTATACTTACTAAGTAACCCAGGTAGCCTATCTCTAAAGCTAGATGAGTTCTTCTTTGCTGTGAAAGAATCATTTCTTGAAACTTGGAAAAGGTAAAATAAGGATTTTTTGGTTTCTTGTTTTGTTTTGTTTTTTTGATATCACACTAGAGCATTTTTTCTTTTTTTTTTTGAAATGGAATCTCACTCTGTTACCCAGGCTGGAGTGCAGTGGCATGATCTTGGCTCACTGCAGCCTCTGCCCCCTGGGTT